AGGATTTTCTATATACAAGGTCATGTCATTTGTGACTAGAGAGGTTTACTTCTTCCTTTCTTATTTGGATGGCTTTTACTGCTTTTGCTTGCCTAATTGCTCTGTCTAGAACTTCCAGAACAATTTTGAATAGAAATGGGGAAAGTGGCATGCTTATCTTTTCCTAATCTCCAGGGGAAAGCTTTCAGTCTTTCACCATTGAGTGTGATGTTACTGTGAGTTTTTCATAAATGCCTTTTATCATACTGAGGAAGTTCTCTTTTATTTCTAGTTTGTTCAGTGTTTTTCTTTTTTTTTATCATGAAAGGAAGTGTTGAATTTTGTGAAATGATTTTTCTGCATCAATTGGGATGAATATGTGTTTTTTTCCTCCCTTCATTCTATTAATGTGGTGTATTACATTGTGAGAATTCTGTATGTTCAACCACCCTTGCATTACTGGGATACATTCCATTTGGACATGGTATATAATCCTTCAAAATGCTGCTGGATTCTGTTTGCTGGCATTTCGTTGAGGTTTTTTTGCATTTATATTCCCAAAGGATATTATTATGTGGTTTTCTTATGACGTCTTTTTCTGGTTTTGTTATTAAGGTAATGCTGGCCTTATAGAATGAGTTAGGAAGTTTTCCCTCTTCGTCAGTTTTTTGGAAGAGTTTGAGGAATGTTGGTGTTAATTTTTTCTTTAAATGTTTGGTAAAGTTTACTACTGAAGTCATCTTGCTTTGGGCATTTCTTTTGTAAGGTTTTTGATTCTTGGTTCAATCTTTTTACTTCTTATACATCTATTCAGATTTCCTATTTCTGTTTGAGCATTTTTATTTTATTATTATTTTTTTTATAAATTAATTTTTATTGGTGTTCAATTTACCAACATACAGAATAACACCCAGTGCTCATCCCGTCAAGTGTACCCCTCAGTGCCCGTCACCCATTCTCCCCCACCCCCGCCCTCCTCCCCCTCCACCACCCCTAGTTCATTTCCCAGAGTTAGAAGTCTTTATGTTCTGTCTCCCTTTCTGATATTTCTCACACATTTCTTCTCCCTTCCCTTATATTCCCTTTCACTATTATTCATATTCCCCAAATGAATGAGAACATACACTGTTTGTCCTTCTCCGGTTACTGTGGCCAAGTTCAAAAAGGGTGTTGCCTGAGTTCTCCTCTGGGATTTTGATGGAATCTTGTCTCACATTTAGATCTTTCATCTATTTTGAGTTTATCTTTGTGTATGGTGCAAGAGAGTGGTCCAGTTTCATTCTTCTGCATGTGGATGTCCAATTTTCCCAGCACCATTTATTGAAGAGACTGTCTTTCTTCCAGTGGATCATCTTTCTGTTTGAGCATTTTTAATAGTCTGTGTGTTTCTAGGAATTTGTCTATTTTATCTGATTGTTGTTAACGAATTGTTTAGTATATTTGTTACTGAGAGCAGTGTTAAAATTTCCTTCTTTTTTTTTTTTTTAAAGATTTTATTTATTTATTCATGAGAGGCAGAGACACAGGCAGAGGGGAGAAGCAGGCTCCATGCAGGGAGCCCTACGTGGGACTCAATCCCAGGTCTCCAGGATCAGGCCCTGGGCTGAAGGTGGCGCTAAATCGCTGAGCCACCTGGGCTGCCCCAGTGTTCAGATTTTCAACCAAGATTGTGAATGTGTCTTTCTCCTTTTGGTTCTGACAATTTTTGTCACTGTGTTATTAGGTGTATACACATTTAGGATGTTTATATCATCTGGTAGATTGGCCCTTCTATTACTATGAAATTTCTCTTCTTCTCTTTAGTAAGACTTGTCTTCAAGTCTATTTTGCCAGATATTAGTGGGTTATACTGGAGTTCTTTTGTTAGTGTTTGCATGTATATCTCTTTCCATCCTTTGTAAGATTTCTGTCCCCTTTTATTTAAGAGGTTTGTCTTCTATGATATACTTAAAAAAATCAAGTCTGATAATCTTTGCCTCTTAATTTGACCATTTAATGGATTACTAATATAATTAAATTTAAACATACCAGGATACAATTTGTTTTCTCTGGCTTATCAGCTCTATGTTCCTTTTTTTCTCCTTTCTTGCCTATTTTTGGATTATTCAAGTATTTTTTTTTTTTTTAGAATTTCCTTTTATCCCATTAACCTGTTAGTTCATTTTGTCAGAATTCTTTTTGTTATTTGCAGTATGCAACCTAACTTATTAATGTACTTTTCCAGTTCCTGGGGTATTTTAAAACACTTTAATTCCATTTCTCCATTTATTGCCCTCTTAGCTTATGTATTACTGTTATCATCTTTTTTTTTAAAGATTTTATTTATTTATTCATAGAGATGCAGAGAGAGAGGCAGAGACACAGGCAGAGGGAGAAGCAGGCTCCATGCAGAGAGCCTGATGTGGGACTCGATCCAGGGTCTCCAGGATCACGCCCTGGGCTGCAGGCGGCGCTAAACTGCTGAACCACCGGGGCTGCCCCTGTTATCATCTTTTAAACTATTAGACTTTCTCTATACTTTATTGCCCAGAAAACTAATTAAATAACCTACTTTTCTTCCTTCCTTCCTTCCTTCCTTCCTTCCTTCCTTCCTTCCTTCCTTCCTTCCTTCCTTCCTTCCTTCCTTCCCTCCCTCCCTCCCTCCCTCCCTCCCTCCCTCCCTCCCTCCCCTCCTTTCCCTCCCTTCCCTCCCTCTCTCCCTCTCTCCCTCCCTCCTTCCTCCTCCCCCTCCACACTCAATGTGGAACACAGCACAACTTTGAGACCTTGAACTCACAACCATGAGATGAAGACCTGAGCTGAGATCAAGAGTTAGACACTCAACCAATTGAGCTATGCAGGTGCCCTTCCCCAGAAAACTTTATCATTGTTTTATACAATCAATATTCATTTAGATTTAGCCATCCTTTTTGTACTCTTTATTCCTTTCTGCCTCTTCATACTTCCATCTGGGATAATTTTCCTTCTGCCAGAAGAAGTCCATTTAGTATTTTCTTTCTTAATTTTAATACTTGTATTGAAGTGTGACTGAGGTGTCTCCCCAGGACCTGTTGTCCTTGATGGGCCCTGAGCCTAATTTTTGTTCTCCAGTCCTACTGACTGCTCAGTTGCTCTCCCTTTGGGCTGCTGCTTGTGAACTGGCAAATGCTCTAAGTAGGAAAGCTGTTCCTTCTTGGGCTCATGCCTCCATGCTTTTTACAGAATCTTTACCCTGGAAGTCCTCACTGCTCTTAAATTTTTCCAGTGCCTTCACACAATGTTTTATTTTTCAATTTTAAAAAATTTATTTATTTATTAGAGAGGAAGACAGCATGAGTGGAATGAGGGGCAGAGGGAGAAGCAGACTCCCTGCTGAGCAGGAAGACCAATGTAGGGCTCAATCCTGGGATTCTGGGATCATGATCTGAACTGAAGGCAGACACTTAACCATCTTGAGCCACCCAGCCAGCCACCCACACAGATATTTTTATATTTTGACCAGCAATTGTTTGTTAGGAAGATTCATTTGCAACAAGATAGCCTGTCATTTCTAGGAGTGAAATTATTGCCTGGTTATCTTTTGATTTTGGACTCCTGATTGGTGGCTGGGGAATGTGCAGTGTGTGGAACCCAGACATTAATGCCTTATATCCTGCTATAATGAATGAATACATAAGTGGCTGCATATGTAGAAACATAAATACACATAAACATATGAAACATACTATATCAAGGCACATGTAAGATCCTGTCTTCTTAACCTTTTGCAAAGGTGTAGAAAATTCTCCCTTGTCAGCTACTTATAAAGCCCTATATCCTTGTTTCCTGGATTATTTTCTGTAGTATGTGAATGTCCCATATAACATTAATAGATTATCCTTGTTAAAATGGTGACAAGATCAATGAATTTGGGAAGCTGTACATGGGATCCTTCATTTGGAGACTGTCAACACACAAAAGCATATTAAAGACTCTGAAACATATAAATTTATTTGATTATGAAATCTTTGTGGGACAATACCTATTCCCATCCATAGGTAAGTCTTGGTAAACACTGTCTTATAGCTGACCTAAATCCACAAAATCCTACACCAATAGGTATCTGGTATTCAAGGGTCTTTGTCTTCATAAAGGTGAAGTGCCACCCAGTGTGTCATCAGACATGGATGTTGCAAGAAGAATCTGAAAGTGTGCACATCAGGTGTTGGGTTTGGAGGGCTGGAGCCCCTCTGCTCTTCTGTGGTTTAAAAAAGGCAGAATTTGGGGTACAATCATTCCCAGCTCTTTGTGCCTCCTGGAGTGAGATCATCTGCTTGGGTTCCCTTGATTCCAGCCCAGCTCAGCATGGGGTACCCATGTGTATTGGTGGAAATTGATTTTTGATTCTCTTGAGACCAACCTCTCCCTCACTTCACCTACCTCTTGGAGGTCTTGCCGCCCCTCTGTACAGGTGAGAGGGTGAGACAGTTGTGACGGAATACACAGAGCTTCTGCTCAGCAGCCAAGAGGCCTGGGTTCAAGTCCTGGTGCTGTGTGACCTTGGGAGAGTTAACCATGGAGTAGCGGGTGAGAGCATGGGCTTTGGTGTCAGATACACTCAGCCCTTCCACTTCCTTCCTGTGTGATCATGGGCACGTCACTTCACCTTCCTATTCCTCAGTTTCCTTATCTGTCAAATGGGGATAATAGTAATACCTACCTCACCTTCTCTTTGTTTTGAGAAGGAAATAAAATAATGCATGTTAAGTACAATACCTAGAGCATACTAGAGACCTGGCAAATGTCAGTTTTTATGTTATTTAATCCAACCTGACTCCATTTGGGATTGAGGAAAACTCCAGCTTCTCATGATGCTTGAGGATCAGATCGAATCTTGAAAGTGAAAAAGAGTCTTGTAAACTCTTGGACACAATGGGAACTAGGCAGTATTTCTTGTTACTGCCCTTGATGCTGCCTTGTCCCTTCTGGCTGGGCAGGGCGGGGTGTGGGGACTATACCAGCCTCCATCCCTACTCTCAGGCAGAACCATTTCTCCATTACAGAACATTGGCAAGAAGATGTCCTGCCAGCAGTTCATTGCCAACTTGGACCAGCTGAATGATGGCCAGGACTTTGCCAAAGACCTGCTGAAGGTAAAACCTATTAAGGGTTCCCACATCCCCAGCTGTACCTGGAGTGGGTACAGAGGAGAGAGGTCTCTGCTTCACTAAATCCTGACAGTCTAGATTTAGAAAAAAAAATCTCTATTCCAGGGGTGCCTGGGTGGCTCAATTGGTGAGGTGTCCGACTCTTGATTTTTGGCTCAGGTCATGATCTCAGGGTTGTGAGATTGAGCCCCACTTTAGGCTCTGCACTCAGAGGAGAGTCTCTTTGAGACCCTCTCTCTCTCTCTCCCTTTGCCTCTCCCGCCCTCTCAAATAAACGAATAAATAAATCTTTGAAAAAATAATTTCCATACCCAACATGGGGCTCGAACTCATGATTCCAAGATCAAGAGTCCCAGACTCTAGTCACTGAGCCATCCACACCCCTCCAACAGTCTATATTTTTAATACTGGGGTCAGAGCCACCAGACTTTGGGACAGAGTTAGTGACCATCCAGTTAAACACTGACTGCTAAAAAAATAAAAATAAAAAAAAATAAACACTGACTGCTATGTATTCCCTGAGTTATGTAGAAGGGTAGGCTTTATGAGATTTGTTTTTAACACTCCATTATCTTCATTGCTGTCACAGTGATCCTTAAAACTACCAACAGTTGTCATAGCTGCCACTGCCATCACCATTACCTTATCAGTACCTTCACCTTCACCACAACTGTCACTCATCACCACAGGGAAAAACCCACCCATTTCTCCAACATTATCAGGAATTAAGGGATTCTAGTTTTCTCCTGAGGCTGAAGCCCAGGGGGGAACTCAGGCCTTTCAAGCCTTGTCAGTTCTCTGCCTTGGAGGAAGAGGAGCAGGTTTTTTGGGGGGGGTAAGTGATGAGTTCAGTTTTATTATTTTTAAAGATTTATTTGAGAGAGACAGAGAGACAGAGAGGGAAGAGCAGAGGGAGAGGGAGAATCTGTGCTGAGTGTGGAGCCGAATGTGGGGCTTAATCTCAAGACCCTGAGATCATGATCTGAGCTGAAATCAAGAGTAGAATGCTTAACCTTAAGATTGAGCTACTCAAAAGTGAGTTTAATTTTAGATAGTAGGTTTGAAGGATATGGTGATACCAGGTAGGCAGTGGGATAGTGAGTCTGGAGGTAAAAAAAAAAAAATAGAACATTGTCTTACTCTTCTTACCATAATTATCTTCTTCACCATCAACAAGGGCTTGTTAAGAATGTATTTGTGAGATCAAATAATCCCAGTCCCAACACCTACCTACCTACTTCTCCCCATCTACCCATCCACCCATTTAATTGAGCTCCCATGGCACCCATCCCTTTATCCATTCACCTACCCAGAAACTCATTCCCCTTCCCCAACACCCACCCATTCACCCATCATCCACACATATACCTTCTACACCCTTGAACGCTCACCACTCATTTCCCTACGCAGCCACCTACCCACTAACCTATCTACCCAACTCATCCTCAAATCTATCCATCCATTCATCTAAAAAATCATATACTTACCCATCTCTTATTCATTCACCCATCCAACAAACAACTGTGAATCAAACACTCATTTTGCCCCACTGGCTGAAAAGGTGCTTCCTCACTGCATACACATTACTAGAGGTAGATGGAGATTTCTTTGATTCCTTTTTTTTGGTAAGATTTTATTTATTTATTCATGAGAGACACACAGAGAGGCAGAGAGGCAGGCAGAGGGAGAGGCAGGCTCCACGCAGAGAGCCCAACGCAGGACTTGATCCTGGGTTTCCAGGATCACGCCCTGGGACGAAAGCGGCATTAAACCGCTGAGCCACCCTGGCTGCCCGATTTCTTTGATTCTTCATCTGAACTCCTCTCTTTTTCTTTTCCCCTGTCCTAGACTCTTTACAACTCCATCAAGAATGAAAAGCTGGAATGGGCCATGTGAGTAGTGCCCATGGGCTCAGGTATGGGGAAAATGAATCACCGTAAAGGAAAAAGGGGAGTGGCTGATAGTACTGGGAAGGCCCTGCTGTCACTCTCCATGGTGCTGATTTCTCGTAAACCACAGCTCTGGTGACCCTTGTCTAGCTGGCCAGCACCACATGATGAGTTCCCCTTTGGGTACATTTTCTGTATTGATAAAAAGTGTACAATGTTAAACTGGTATGGAATTGATTAAACTGTGACTTTGGTTTCATGATGTCCACAACTTATTTTCTGTTACTGAGGATATTGCCGCTCTTCCCAGTGATGATGGCTCTTTCCCTTTTGGGAGGTAGGCAGGCAGAGGCATTAGTCCCCCTAAAATACCAAGAATACTACCACGTTTAGGTAGCGTCTGCTCTTGGCAGTGCCAAGGGTGACTGCCCCTTAAATTCTTCCTCTGCAAAGGCAGTGAGTCCTGGAGGTGCCCAGCCATCTGGAAAGAGATGTGGTCACCTTGGTGGGGAGACTGAGAGGCTCCTGGGGAAAGTGGATACCCCTGTCTTTTGTGCTCCCCAGGGCAGCCTTGGCCTTTGGGTCCTTGTAGAGGTCACAGGTAAGGATTGTTAGGAACTCCAGAAACACTGGGAAGAGCAGGCACTCTTCTACCAGGGCTCTAAATAAAGGGGAGCCTAGACTTTAGGGGGCTCACCTACTGGCCCAGTGTGCCTGTGGAGCTTGGGCAGCCACTTCAGTCTGCCCATGGGTCACTGCTTCCTGAGTCTGAGCTTTCAGGGTTGGAGAGAGAAGAAGAAAGACCAGGAATAAGACTAGTAAAGTCTCCAACTTTGTGATCAGTGGTGAGGATTAGAGCTTGGAGGCTAAAAATCACAGCTCTGAAGACTGGGGTCAGAATTGAAGACAGAGGCAAGGGTCAAAGATCTGGGTCTGTGATCTGGAATTGGAACTTCCCTATCTCTGCTCTTCACCTCTGCCTGTTTCCCAGAGAAGGGTTCATGGGGAGAGAACATGTCCATGTGGGGCTAAGGCTTCCATGGAGATGGTGCTCAGGCCTAGTATTTTCCTAGTGATGAGGATGAGCTGAGAAAATCACTGTCTGAGCTGGTGGATGACAAGTTTGGGACAGGCACCAAGAAAGTGACACGGATCCTGGATGGTGGGAACCCCTTCCTGGATGTCCCGCAGGCTCTCAGTGCTACCACCTACAAGCATGGTGTGCTGACTCGGAAGACTCACGCTGACATGGATGGCAAGAGGAGTGGGTGTCAGACTGGGAAAAGGGCACGGGGAGGGATGCTAGTCTGGGGGGAGAGGGATGCTAGTCTGGCAGGGGGTAGGGTCTGGATCCCGTGACTACTCCTCTGGGGTTGCATATCCAGATAGATGTATAGGGGGATGCAGTAGAGGGGATATTGGGGTGTGTGGTTGTGGCCACACTACCCATATGCCCATCCCTAGCACCCCGTGGGAGGCGTGGCTGGAAGAAATTCTACGCGGTGCTCAAAGGGACCATCCTGTACCTGCAGAAGGTGAGAGGCCCCAGAATCCTTACTCCAGAAGTGCCAGTGCGACCTCCAACAGGCCCATCTTGAGGTGCTCAGAGGGTCCCTGGCAGGACCTGGGGCTTAGGCAGATGCTGGATCCTTCCCTCATTAAAGTTTGATTGGGGCTCACAGAGCTTTGGGTTTTCAGAGAGGGATCTTTGAAATGCCCGTGGGCTCAGAGGATACACACTGGAAGCTCTTTTTGGGCCTTGGGACAAACCAGGGTGGGGAGAGGAGTGGTTGGAGTGCTTTGTTAGGATGGGCATGGCACCAGAATGGCAAGAGCTGAAGAATGGAGGGAGTGTGGGGACAGGAGGGGGAGAGTATAAGAGGGGATGGTGAGGGTTGAGGAAGTGTAGGTTAGTATACCAGAGCCTGGTTATGACAGAGGCTTGCCTGTCCCCACTTCACATATCCAGGATGAGTACAGGCCTGACAAAGCTCTGTCTGAGGGTGACTTGAAGAATGCCATTCGTGTGCACCATGCTCTGGCTACCAGGGCTTCTGACTACAGCAAGAAGTCCAATGTGCTCAAGCTGAAGACGGCTGACTGGAGGGTCTTCCTCTTCCAGGCACCGTAAGTAGGAGTGGGAGCCCCCTCACTCCACCCTGGGCTCAGGGCCAGTGGCATGGAGCCTGTACTGCACCCCAATCCTCATTTGCCTTAGGTGAGGTGCCCTAAGCTTGCCTGCACATCATCCACAAGAGTGAATGTGTCTACTTGGCACAGACCGACAGCCTGGGTCCCCTGAAGTAGAGGTCCTCCAGTGTGGTCCTGTCAGCATCTCCTGGAAACGTATTAGAAATGCAATTTCTCTGGCCCCACCTTAGACCTACCGAATCAGGAACTCTGGGCCTGGGCCAGCAGTTATGTTCTAATCAGCCTTCCAGGCGATTCTGTTGCAGGCTGAGGTCCCTAAATCTGGGGCAGATGGAGTCTTAATGAATCCTCCTTCACTGTAAATCGGGGTGGGGAAAGGGATGAGAAAGACTCGTCCTTTAGATTCACTGGAAGGCCTTTAGTCCACTCCCCTGCACCCTGTCCTGTAACTTGAATTGGAGTTTCATGTGTCAGGTGAATTTAGAAGGCAGGAGGCTGGTAGGCGACCTCTCAGGGTGGGAGTGAGCATGCTGGGCAAGGTAGTGGGGCAGGGACAGGAGGCCTGAGTGGGGATACTGCTTAATCCAGGGCTTACCCTGGGCCCACTGGCTCTAGAGCCCATTACTCCAGGGCCATTAGCTCTGGATCTGGACAGCTTTATTTTCATATGAAAATCCAGGTCTTGCCTAGAAGCTGGGACAGCAGGGAGCTCCCTATGCAGACTGGACCAGGCCCACCCCGCCCCCATCCTGCCATCCTCCTTCACTCTTTGTGAAGGGAGCGGCTTTCTCCCTGTGCCAGGCTGGTGGTGGGTCCTGTGTGCCGGGTGGGGGACAGGGAGACCTATTGTGAGGAGCTGGTGCCCTCTCTCCTCCCCTCCTGTCCCCAGGAGCAAAGAAGAAATGCTGTCCTGGATCCTTAGGATCAACCTGGTGGCTGCCATCTTCTCAGCCCCATCCTTCCCCGCTGCTGTCAGCTCCATGAAGAAGTTCTGTCGGCCCCTGCTACCCTCCTGCACCACTCGCCTCTGCCAGGTACGAGCTCCTAGGACCCCAGTGCTACTTCCTCAGGCTGCCTCCAGCCAGGTCCCCATCTAACAGCCTCTTCCTCCAGCTCCTGTATAGTACCTGGTCTTGAGCTAAGAGACAAGATGAAGAGGCAGATCTTCTCCATCCCCATTGCACTCACCCTCATTTACAGATGGGAAGACTGAAGCCACGTGCCGCACAGAGGCCTGATTCTTTGCCAATGGCGATGTATCCTGTGGATGTCATTGTGGATCTGTAGCCACTGTGTGTGTCTGAGCATGAATGTGAGAGAATGCATGTGTCACAGGGAGCTAGGGACAGGCAAGATGTGGCTGGCCCTGCATCCAGTGCTCTTTTGCTGTCCTTACCTACCCTTAAGTGTTTTATTTGTAATCCTAAAAAAACTACTCATGAATACTTGAATTTTTTAGGGAAGAGAGGATAAATGGTAGACCACTGCTTGGGAGGAGGGCAGGAGGAGCTCCATACTTCCTGTCTTTGTCAGGGCCCCTTTCCCACTGGGCCTTTGTCCTGGGTCTCTCACTGCACTTCTAGGCTGCAGCTTAGGAGCACACACCCCACACCCTGTGCACACATATACCATACAGGCACACACATGTGCATGTGAGCATACACATGTGCTGTGCACCCACACCCATACTGTACACATGCATCATACATATGCACACACATGCAGCTCATTGCCCACCCAGCACGAAGTGGTCTGGCTGTACTTTGGTGGGTGGGATGTGTGTGCACACTTGTCTGTGAGTAACAGTGTCTCTGGGTGATTCTGGGTCTGTGACCTTAATATATGTGTCTGGGCACGAATCTGAGAGAATGTGTGCAGTGTACGGCGCCAGGGATAGCTGAGGCCAGGCTGTCTCTTGGTCCATTGGGTTTGTGTGTGTATGTGAGCGTCCATATGAACTGGCAGGGGTGGGGGTGTCTGGAGTGACTGTGTGTCTATGTCAGGGAATGATCTATGTGCTCATTCTAGTGTGAGGCTGTCATCTCCCAAGCCTGCTGTGGATTTATCTCAGAGGGTTGATGCCAATCAAAGCAAGGCAGGAAAGAGGAGGCAGGGCACTCCCTCTGGGCTCCACATACTTGATGACCCTGGGCAGGCCTCAGTTTCCCTTTGCTGAAGCAGATCCAGCGCAATAGGTTTAGACCCACCCATGACATCCTGAGAGTGGGACCTCAAGTCTAGGACTTGTCTTTGCAGGAGGAGCAGCTGCGTTCCCATGAGAATAAGTTAAGGCAGGTGACTTCAGAGCTGGCTGAGCACAAGTGCCACCCCATTGAGAGGGGAGTCAAGTCCAAGGAGGCTGAGGAAAACCGGCTGAAGGAACACTATCTCACTTTCGAGGTGCGTTCTCCTTAGGGCCGATTGCTAAGGATGGCACTGGGGCAGAAGGAGGAAGCCAGCTCTTCTCTCTGTCACCAGCATCATTCCGCAGCCAGAGGCTCCTGGTTTGGGGGGTCTCCACTTTGGGGGCTCCCCTGAGGCAATCATGAGCCATGCATGGCCTTCTGTGGGCCAGTCTGATCAGTTCAGCTGCCAGTTGTTAATCAAACAGATGTGCCCTTACTTGTGTCTCTCAAGGAGCACGAGGTGGGCACCATTCTTCTCCCAGCCGCTCCTCACCTGCGCTTCCCCCATGACCCAGCCTCTCGGGAAGCTGTCACAGCTCAACCATAGACAGTGCAAGCCCACCTGCCTGACCTACCCCGCTTTTGTCTCCTTTTCCTCTTCCACAGATGTTTATCGGCAACAAGCTTCTCCCTTCTCTCCATCTTGTCTCTCTGTCCCCCCTGCCCTGATTCTGCCTCACAATGCTCTGTAAATGGGCCTTCACCTGGTGAAGGGGGGGCAGCTTGGGGAAGGGAGGCAGGAACCACTTGTCCCTTTTGGACTGGCCTTTGTATTGACTTGCTGATGGGGGCAGACAATACAGAGGCTGAGTCTGAGCCTTTGGGGCAAGAAAGGCAGGAAGTCACTGATCTCAGTCTCTGGATTTCTACATTGATTTTCTACTGTGTGAGGAAGAGAGGAGCATTCCCAGGAGAGATCCTGACCTTTTGAAAAACATAAAGCTGTACCACTCTTAAAGTCTTCTCAGACCCACACTCTCTGCAACATAAAAAAAGGATGGCAAAAGCTACAGTGGACTGATCTCTAACCAACTGCCAGGCATGAGTGCCTTCACTCCCTTGTACTGATTGCTTTAATCCTCATGTCAACTCTGTGAAATGGGTTCTCTTAGTATCCCCATTTTACAGATGGGAAAATTGAGGCTTGGAGAGGGCAGATCACTTGCCTGAGGTGACAGTTAAGAAGTGCAGGAGCCATGGGATGCCTGGGTGGCTCAGCGGTTGGGCGCCTGCCTTCAGGACATGATCTTGGGGTCCCAGGATCGAGTCCAACATTGGGTTCCCTGAATGGAGCCTGCTTCTCCCTCTGCCTGTGTCTCTGCCTCTCTCTGGTGTGTGTCTCAAGAATAAATAAATAAGGGCAGCCCAGGTGGCTCAGCGGTTTAGCGCAGCCTTCAGCCTATGGCCTGATCCTGGAGACCCAGGATCGAGTCCCACGTCGGGCTCCCTGCATGGAGCCTGCTTCTCCCTCTGCCTGTGTCTCTGCCTCTCTCTCTCTCTCTCTCTGTGTCTCATGAATAAATAAATAAAATCTTTAAAAAAAAAAGAATAAATAAATAAAATCTTTAAAAAAAAAAAGTGCAGGAGCCAGGATCCTATCCCAGGTGATTGTAACTCCAGCACTCTGGTCTTTCTCACTTGCCCCTGGCTTAACTGGGGGAGGTGAAGCCCAGCGGTGAAGGGTCTTTCTGTTCATATGACAGAGCTGCATGAGAACAGTGTCTCTGCACCTTTACTCTTTGCTTCTTCTGGGACCTCAGCCTCTCCTGACTGTGGTGAGGGCTGGAAGCTCAGAGTCAGGACCTCAGACATAGTGACCAAATTTCCCTCCTAAGTGTTTACCAATTTGTAACACTTTTTTTTTTTTTAAGAGTGAGAGAGTGGAGAGGGGCAGAAGGAGAGATTTTTTAAAAATTTAAAATCAATTAGCCAACATATAGTACATCATTAGTTTCAGATGTAGAATTCAGTAATTCATCAGTTGCATATAACACTCAGGGCTCATCATGTCAGGTGCCCTCCTAATGCCTGTCTCTTAGTTACCCCATTCCCCCTACCTACCTCCCTGGGAGAGAGAGAATCTTAAGCAGGCTCCACACCCAACATGGAGCCTGACATGAGACTCAATCTCACAACCTTGAGCTAAAATCAAGAGTTGTATGGTTCACCAACTGAGCCACCCAAGTGCCCCAATTTCTAATACTTTATTTATTTATTTTTAAATTTATTTACTTGAGAGAGAGAGGGAGAGGGGAAGAGATGGGCAGAGGGAGAGAGAGTCTTAAGCAGACCCTATGCTGAGCACAGAGCCCGATGATGCAGGGCTCAATCTCACGACCCTGAGATAATGACCTGAACCGAAACCAAGAGTTAGACACTCAACTGAGTGGGCCACTCAGGCACTGCACCTCCCCCCATTTATAACACTTTAAATAGCTTATGAATGTACTTCTCTATTCATGCTCTTACCAACACTGGACACTACTGGATGTTTTAATTGTCATCAATCTAAGATTTAACAAGGGGTGTCTCATTGCTATTTTAATTTGAATTAAAAATTTTTAATTGTGGTCAATATGCATGGCATAAAATTTATCATCTTAACCATTTCTAAGTGGATAGTTAAATAGTATTAAGTCTACTCACATTGTTGTTTAACCAATCTCCAGAACCGTTTCATCTTCCCAACTGAAACTCTACACCCATAAAACAGCAAGTCCTGCCCACCTCCCCTTGTTGCGCCACCTCTCCTCTCCATCCCCCGGGGGCAACCACTGTTCTTGTTTCTGTTTCTGTGATTTTGACTACTCTAGTTACTGCCTATTAGTGAATTAATAACAGATTTTGTGTTTTTGTGACTGGCTTTTGCTCAAGTTTATCCATGTTGTGACATGTGTTAGAATTTCCTTCCTTTTTAAGGCTGAATACTATTCCGCTGTACATGGATACCACATCTCTATCTTTTCATCTGCTGCTGGACATTTGGGTTGCTTTCACCTTTTGGCTTTTGCAAATAGTGCTGTTATGAATATGGATGTGCAAATATTTCAGGCGTCCCTGAGACACATGAGTTTTAAATTTTGCATTCCTATTTGTCAATTTTTATTTTGGTTGTCCTTACTTTTGGTGTTATACTCAAGAAATCATTGCCAATTAATTTGAATTTTTTTAAAAATATTTTATTTATTCATGAGAGACAGAGAGAGAGAGAGGGGCAGAGACACAGGCAGAGGGAGAAGCAGGCTCCATGCAAGGAGCCGGAGGTGGGACTCAATCCCGGGTCTCCAGGATCACATCCTGGGCTGAAGACGGCGCTAAACTGCTGAGCCACCCGGGCTGCCCTAATTTGAATTTTTAAAATTATGAGTAAGATTTCTGTGTATGTGTCTCTTGCCTAGTTTTTTTTTATTGGATTGTTTATCTCCTTTTTATTGATTAGTGAGAGCTCTCTGAATATTAAGGAAATTGGTCTTTTGTCACCTAAGATCCAAATACTTTTTTTTTTTTTTTTTTGCATTTGTTGTTTGTCCTTTGACTTTGTGTTTGGCCTTTCTCTGTCTTTTTTTCCAGAAAAGCCGTTATGAGACCTATATCCACCTCCTGGCGGTGAAAATCAAAGTGGGCTCAGATGACCTGGAGCGGATTGAGGCCCGGCTGGCCACCTTGGAAGGGGATGATCCTTCCCTCCGCAAGACACACTCAAGCCCAGCCCTCAGTCAGGGCCATGGAACTGTGACTGGCAGCAAAGCTACAAAGGATACCACTGGGCCTGATACTTAGCTGGCATTGATAGGCAGGCCCCAGAGGCAGGCAAGTGTTGCCAGAGGGGTCAGTGAGCACAATTCCAGCCAGGGGCCACTTGTACCAGCTCCAGGCAATTGACAGGCAGCCAGAGGGGTGCAGAGAGCCCCATGGGCCAAGGAGACGGAGATGCTATTCATGGCGTTGGTCTTCTTGCATCCTGGGGTTTATCTGGGCCTCATACTTTCTCCTCAGCCCTCATGTTCCTCTCCACCACGGAGCCTCATTTTGTAGGCCAGTCGTGTGCATGCTCTAGACACAATGTCACTGGAGAAGGAGGAAGGGCAGCTGACCTTGCAGACCCTCCCCTTCTCACAAGTTCCTGTCATCTCCCTGTTTCCATTCCAAGGGCAGGTCTGGATCCCTACCTGTTCTCTTCCCTCCTCAGACTTGACCAGCAGCAGGTCGGCAGACCACCAGTACCATCCTCTCCTCCCTCCACCCAGTAGCTTCTGCAACCACGCCTTGTTCTCCTGCCTCCCTTTGCAATAATCCAGGACCTGGGCCTGCTCCCTCAACATCAAGCTGTCTACTCGTGTGTACATTCGCCTCACCTTCCATTTATAGAGGCCATTACTGCTTTCTTTTATATGGACAAAAATGTATATATATAAAAGAATATATATATGGAGCTCCTTTAGAGATGATTTTGGAATTGATGTCAAAATGAAAGAAGGAAAAGCCTATACGAGAACTCCACCTGTTAGCAAGGAGGGCTGCCATCTGGCCTCTTGGTAGCCCAGACACTCTGGGAGGGAAGGTGGAGATAGTGCTGACCTCTTCTCCTCCCATTTCCCTTCTCCCGGCTGACCTGGGACTTCCACTGCTCTTCCAGTTGATGCTTTGGAATGAATAGACCGTGTGTGCATACGCCACCCCATCTTGTTCCACAGGCATTCTGGGGTATGAGTAGGGTGGGACCATGGCCCTGTTTATATTTTGGTCTTTATGTTGATGCTGCCAGGTCTCTGAGCTCCAGAGGTGGCTTCTTGTACAGATCTACTGCTACTGCTACAGGAATAGAAGATACTCTGCCTTGCAAACAGCCACTTGTCAACAAGCCCAAAGATGTTTGGTGGAGGAGGGTTATGGAAGCCATTAATTTCTGCTCTTGGGAAATGGTGGAGTAAGAAGTTGCTGATTGTTTTTTAAGTTGACATTTCTTTCACTCTTCTGGTGACCCAGGAATGCTAGCTAAGGACAGGCCTGGGAAGGAGAGAAAAATTTGCCATGTGATGACCACTGACTAGTATCCTGTAAGCCCTGAATTCCTCAGACTGACAAGTGGTGGGGGTGATGGTTCCTTTAATGAGCTATGATGAGCAGATCCTTATATATTTAAAAATAGGTTAGTTGGGGCAGCAATTTGACCTCAGTGATAACATATTTAGTTAGTTGCAAGGTTGACTTGTCTTATTAAGTACCTAACATTTACAAGCACGCTCACATTTGATACAAGGGATGACGTATGAGTCTGTGGAAATATGTAGTGATTTAAATCCAGATTATTTAATTTGGATCCACTGAAGTGTATTTTATAACCAAACCATCTGGCCCCTTAATTTTGCTGAGGGGAAGTAAATGTTCACTTAAATGAAATCGAAAGAGCAATGTAACACAAAAGAGCTCTCTGTACTTTCTCCATTCTGGCTCTAAGGTCTTTGATTTTGAGGGTCAGCTTCCCACCTTAATGAGGGTGGATGAGTGAAAGCAGAGGAGCAACCTTCTGTCTGCTGCAGACAGATATGCTTCCCTGAGCACTAGTGATGTCTCCCATCAGTAAAAAATCTGTTGGTCACTTTCTTAATTGTATAATTATTTATTGTAAATTATATACATGTACTACTGTACTAAAATATGTACATTATAAAACATACACAAAAATAGAAATTTAAAAAGATGAGATGAAAATAAATCTAAGAGTTCTAATATTTCTTTCCTACATTCTAATGGGCCATCATATTCCCCCCCAATTTCTGCCCCTAATATGCCCATTTTCCAGGACTGTCCAATTCCCGGGGCTGGAGGACTACAGGTGCGAAGCAGCAAGTGGTTTGCGCCACCTGGTGGTCCTGGGAAGTGGCTTCGGGCTCAGGGACTTCTGGGGGCTGACCCTTGACCACAGTGTTGAACCTTCATTTTCTCATTCACTGAAAGTCACCAGTGCTGCACACTGTGCTGGGTGTTGAGGATAGTGTGGTGAGGAAAGGACTGAGCAGCTCCCTGTCCACATGGGGCTCACAGTCTAGTGGGGAGGACAGGCCGTCACTTTACCATTTGGGACCTTGGGAGCACTGGGGACAAAGCCAAAACTGACCTGGAAGAGAGAAGATAGAACTGGAGGAGTGAGGAAGAAGACAGTGACTCAGGAAGCGGCCTGAATGTCCTAAGTGCTCCTGGCGGACAAGGTGGTAGTAGGGAAGTCACTAAACAGGGCTATACCTCTTCCTGATGGGTCTATACTAAAGATGCCCCGAAGCAGAATGGAAGAAGAGCCTCTCCAGACACACCTGCCTCCAGGTCCCATTCACAACCGTGAAATGAATGGGTGGTGAATTCGATTAGGCTCTGGCCTTCAACTCTTGACTCTCATAGGTGTTTTAGAGTCCACAGCAGATAACCAAGCTACCAAATTATTTGATACAAGTACCTGGGGTCAGGAAAATGCCAGGGGGTTCACCAGGAAGTCAGTCACAATTACTGGGGTTCACTGGAGTCACAGGTGGTTTCTGACTAAAAATTTAGAAGGTAATAGCAACTCAGAAGGGTCAAATTTGACACTGAGGGGTTGTGGAAAGGCCTATGGATTCACCAAGAGGTCGTTCACAATTATTGGGATTCACATAGAGGTCAGAAGTCACATAGAAGAATTAGTGGCTGTCAGAAAATTTTAAAGCCAACAGCAAACTCAGAGCCAGCAAAGGGATTTGGATGAGATCACCAGATGGGGCCTGGGAGAGGTCAGTGATTTGCAGGTCTATATACCATTTAGTTGATTATTTCCTCTGTTTCTTTGTAACAAGTGCTTTTTCCCCCAGCACCCCCACAGTGAACACAATGACTTTAGTTCTTTCTTTACTTTTCCCCACCACCTCCCTTTCATCCAGTTTTTGCCACTCTGTGTGATTCAAGAATGCAAGGCACAGGATACCACCACCACCACCATCATCATTATCATCAAATTAGCGATTAGTAGGCATCATGTGCCAGAAGTAATTCTGGGTACATTTTCGCATGCGCGCGCACTTGTCAGCCACCTGAGCCCTTTGGATAGAAGACTCCCTTGTGTCTGGCTGGAACATAAGGATTCCTGGCACTGGGCACTGGTTTAATAAATGAATCAATGAGAGAAAAGGCTTCTTAACCCTGGACCTCCATCTGTCTTCTTGCCCTCATCAGGGACTGCAGGTTTAGACAGGCCCTGGCTCTGAGGGGCTATGAATTTGGGAATAGCACAACACCCTGTGGGCTTACAAGCTGCAGCAGCTGTGGTCTTCCTGGCAGCCAAAGGTACCCATTATGCCATCTTGCATGTCCAGGCCTTGCCTGTGACATGCCTGAGGCCCCAAGGGTCATCTTGCCTCAGCTGCCCCAGTGCCAACCCCACAACCCTTCCCTCCTCACCCACGTAGGCCGGAAATTGTTGCCTCATTGCAGCCCCAGTAGCTCCAGGGCAGGAAACGGGCCAGGTTTCTGAGGCTGAGCTCAAAGCAGAGGAATATGCATCAGCCCCTTGGCCAGGTTCCCCAGCAGCCAGGGGGGATACCTTGTGAATATTCTTGGAAGAAGGAGGAGGGTTGCAGCCTGTCCTGGGAGCTGGAGCCAGGGAGATTAGAGGTCTCTTCCTCCTAGGCACTACCTTGGCCCTCTCCAGTCTCCACACCAGCATCCATCCATCTCCACCCCAGGTCCTCATTCTGTCTTCTCTCCTCATCTGGGGGCTAGGCACACACAATCAAACATGAGTTATTTCTGATTTTATTTATAATATAAAAATGTTCAAGTGTCAACAGTCAGGTGTTTGGACATTTCAGGGCAGGGTTCCCATTTGGTTGGTTTTTGTTTTTGTTTTTTTTTAAACAATTACCTTTTTTGACAAATTAGCAGTGGACCCAGTTTTGTGGGGGTGGGGGTGGGGAGGACGGGGGTGGAGAGGGAGTGGAAGTCATAGGTGGCTTGGGGTCTGGAAGAGTTGGTGTTATTTTATTGCTAAAAGGGGAATCAAATACACTGTGGAGTGGCTCTTCTCGGTCCCAGTGTGACCATGCATCCAATCTAAAGAATCTGAAATGCAAAGGACATGCAGGCATAAAATAGAAAAGACAACCTGTAAACGAAGGTGCTGCAGAGGACGGAAGGGCATCCTGGAGGCCATAGGTGAGGAGGAGCCGCAACTTTGGGGCCCTGGCAGAGCTGCCCCCTCCCTGGCGCCGGGACTGTTGGGAAGACCTTTCTCAGTGCCCCCTCCCTTATTAGCTGTAAGGAGCGGGGAGGCTCCCTCCCCTGTCCTGGTTGCTGTCGCTGGGACTCAAGTCTCCCCCTGAATGTCACTTGACCCCAACTCCAGCTCCAAGCCTAGGAGCTTCATGGGTCTGGGACTCAAGATCCTGCCTGGGGGCAAGGCTACTCCTGGCCCCACTTCCTTCCTCAGGGCCAATCCCCTCCCCGCCCCCACCAGCACCCAGCAGGCCTCTTCTTTGCCAGCTTCCTCTCATCCTTGCCAGCTTGAGATCCTACATCTCCCTCACCCCCCCAGCCCCCCCCCCCCCCCCCCGCACTCCACCCCACAACCCGACTTCTCTCCAGGAGCTCCAGATTAGCGTACAGCAAAAGGCACCACAATATAGGTATCTATTAAAGAGTCAAAAAATTGGCCCATCTGTCTTTTTTTGTTGTTTCTTTTTTTTTTCCTGAAGCTGTAAATCAGGATGTTACATATAAATAGTTTCCCTATAAAAACGTCTTTCCGTTAGCTAGTATTATAAGACAATTTTTGCTAAAATGAAAATAAAACATTTTGTTATACTTTTTATCTTTTATAGAAAATAAAAATATTTTTATTTCTTTTTTTCCCTCCTTTCTCTCTCCAGGCGGTGGTCTCTGCTCTCCCTAAAGACAGTGGGGCAGGCGAGGCGGAGGGGGCGGCGGGGGCCCCTAGAGGGGCGCCGAGTCCTGCTTGCTCCGCGGGGGCGGCCCGCGGCTGTGTCTGCTGCTGGCCCGCGTGCTGCGGCTGTCCAGGGAGTAGTAAGTCCTGCTGTCGGCCGCCGGGCAGAGCGGCGGCGAGTCCGAGCGCAGCGCGTCGTGCGCCGCGCGCAGGCCGAGAAAGGGCGTGCTCTCGGCCGCCAGCGCCCCGTCCGCGTCGTCGTCCGAGGCGGAGGCTGAGCCGCCACCCGAGCCGCTGCTCGGCGACAGCGAGTCCCGCGCCGCGCGTGCGCGCTGCGCCGCCAGCCCGTTGAGGCGCGAGCGGCGCCAGCGCCGGGGCCCCGCCGACGTCCTGCGGGACGCGCCGCGGGCGCGCGGGCGCGGCGGGGGCGGCGGCGGGGGCGGGGGCGCGCACTCCTGCGTGGTCTCGTACTCGTCGTCCTCCGGGATGCGGAAGGGGCTGGCGGGCAGGCTGCCTAGGCTGCCGCCCAGTGCGCAGGCCCCACGCCGCGGCCCCGGCCCTGGCCCGGGCCCCGCTGCGGGGTAGTAGTAGCTGTCGTAGCTGCGCTGCATGTCCGCGCCGGGCCCGGGCCCTGGGCCCGGGGGCGCCGGCTGTCGTAGTAGCGGCTGCTGCTCCGCCAGGCGGTAGCTGATGGGCGCGGCGGGCGGCAGAGACACGGCGTGCGCCGAGTTGGGAGACGTGATCTCAAAAGTCGGCACCTGCGTGGCCAGCGAGTAGTGGAAGTCCACGGGAGAGAGGCGCGCGGGCGTGGTCAGTGCGGACACGTACCTGCGGGGAGAGGCAGAGGCGTGGGCCGGGGCTCCGCGCCCGCGCCCGCGCCCCGGTGGAAGGGGTGGATCCCAACGGGAAGCCGCGGTCTAGCCTGGGAACCCCGCCTGCGAGAATCCTCACTGACCTGAAGCACTTTCCTTAACCTCTCCCAGGCTCGGGTTCCTTATCTGTTAAGCGGGGATCACCACAGTGCTCATTCCATGGCGTTGTTAGGGTGATTCCTTAAACGAATCAAACGGAACGTGCCAGTGCCTGATGATGCTCCGTGAAGGAGCCGTGGGTGTGGGGGATGCCCGCAGTCACCACTATTTCGGAATGGTTACTTTAGGTCAGGCTCAGGCTGGGGCATTTGACACGTACCATCTAATACAGGAATTCCGTGAGACTCTTATGTTAGCCCCACACTACACACGAGGAAACAGACTCAGAACATTTAAATGAAAAAAAAAAAAAAAACATTTAAATGACTTGCTCAAAATTCATAGCCCCAGGAAGTGGTGGAGTGGGGATTTGAACCAATGCCGGGCTCAGAACTTAGACCCCATTGCTTTCTAAAGTCCCCATTACGGAAATCCCTGCGTGGCGCAGCGGTTTAGCGCCTGCCTTTGGCCCAGGGCGCGATCCTGGAGTCCCGGGATCGAGTCCCGCGTTGGGCTCCCTGCATGGAGCCTGCTTCTCCCTCCTCCTGTGTCTCTGCCGCCCCCACCCGTCTCTCTCTATGTCTGTCATAAATAAATAAATCTTTAAAAAAAAATAAAGTCCCCATTACTCTTTCAGAATCACCTGTCTTCCCTCTCTCAAATGCACATCCAGTTAGCTACCGTTCCGTCTCCTGAAACACACACCATACCCAGCTCTACTCCATTCTGGGCTTAGTTGTTCACTCCGGTCATTAATGCACTCCAGGGCCTCTCCTCCACTGTATGCAGTTTCCAGAGCAATCTTTTAACATCACACTTTGCTTAAGGGATCCTTCCTGCTTACCCATCCAGGGCCCACATTCTAAGCAGAGTCCATGGCCATCAGCCACATCTACCTGGCCCGGGCCTATCTGTTCAGGCCCACCTCTGCTTCCCTACAGCTCACCCTGCTCAGGGCACCTCACTCACTAGCCATGTTCTCAAGCGCCTCTGCTGGAACAACTCAGGATGCTCCCCTTGCCTGGAGTGCTCTCCCTGTCTCTCTACCTCCCAACCACTAAGAAGTCCTATTGCTACTGAAAACAATAGCTACTCCTAGTGTAGGTAGGTAGGCGTCGGAGAGCTACATGCACATGATCTCTGATGGCCTTCAAAAGAACCATGTGTGACAGGTACGGTATTTCATGATCTACAGCTGAGGAAACACAACACAGGGGTGATCAACCTGCTCCAAACCACACAGGTGATGGAGTTGGGCTTTGAAAGGTTGGTCTTGGAAAACCCGGCTACTTTCTAGAGCCTGTAGTCAGAGACTGGGTCTCGCCCTGGCAGAATGGCCTGTGCCTAGTATGTTCCATAAGTGGCTGTAAGCTTCACTGGTTTGTGTCTGTGGCTCAGAGCTCCTCGAGGTCAAAAACCAGGTGGGCCATCTCTGGGTCTCCAGGCAGGCCTGCTAAGGGAGGGCTGACACGGAGTAGGCTAAGTTAGAGCAGGAGAACATTTTCTCTCTACTCCTGCCTGGAGTTGCCAGTACTATGCACCTTTCTCTGCTGTCCTCCCACAGACCCCACTTGCCGAGGGCTAAGCAAGGTGGAGGGCTGGCCTCCTGTGACTCCTGGCATGCAGTCAGGGAACAACGGGAGTTTCCTGGTTCTCACTCCATCCATTCCTCAGAAACTCTGGTGTCTTGATCCTTGGGTCTTGCTGCTGATACTGCCAGGGCCTGAAGTCACTCTTCGCTCGTGCCCAGCCGGCACTCCTTGCAGACGGCCTCCCCTCTCACCCTCCAATCTGCTCGATCTTGGTGTCTTTCTGTTCCTGCCAGGACATGGGGCCTCTGGGTGACACCAGGGTAGGGCTACCATATGTTCTGGTATGTCTGGAACAGCCCCTTTGTTCCTGATGTTCTAGTACAATTATTAACATCCCCTTCTACTTTGAACAGTGTCCAAGTAGGACAATTAAATCAGATGGCCTCTCTGCACCAGGGTCCAGTGGCCCGGCTGCAATCCCAGCCTGTCAATACCATGCTGATGACCTTGAGCCGAGCATTGAACCTTTCAGGGACCCTGCTGGCCAATCTGAAATACAGGCATGAGAATCTCTAGAGTGACTCTGTGGTGCCCTCAGGGACAGCCCTGGGTCAGCGGTACCATTCTCTGGCCAAGGTGGGGCATGAGTCACAAGGCAGGAACTGACCTCTCGCTATGTGGGGAGTCACGCAGGGAGTCTATGGAGTCGTGGTAAGGTGGCCCAGCAGCCCTGCGCCGCTCTTCCAGGCTGTAGGCTGCTGCCCGCCGCGCCCGGGCCTCCACACACGCCGGGCTATTGCACTTGCTGGTGCCTACTGATGACAGCATAATGCCCGACTGGGAGTCGGAGGTCAGGCTTTCAGAACGTTCCAGGCTCCACGTGTGGCTCTCATGCCTGGAGAAGCCAGATGGAGGAAAGGTGAGGGATCAGGAAGGGGCAGGACAGCCCAGCAGGTGGGGTCCCAGGCCCATCCCCTCCCTGGTTCATTTCATTTCAGGCACTATCCTTTTTCACTCCGAGCCAATGTGTTGTATCTTGTAGGAAGAAGGAGGGCTGAGTGCCCTGTGGATGGGTGAGCTCCCATGTGCACAAGCCTCTTTTCCTCTGTGCCACCAGCCAAGCTCCCCCTGGCCTCGGCCTGGGGCCTCCTGTCTGGGACCCTTCCTCTCCTATGGTTTTCAGCCACCTGTGTCAAGAACACAGCCCTGGTGGCCAACACATGGGGGCCCTGCCTATTCCATGCCACTTCCCAGGGAAGAAGGGGGGCAACCATGTTATTGCTTGAGCTCTGTGAACCTTTGTGCTGGGGCAGACCTCCCCACCTCTAAAGAAAGGGAAGCTAAGGTGGACTAGGTTCATATGGGCCAACTCAGGAGGGGGCATCAAATAGGTCTGGGTGTTTGAATGAGGAGGCACTTTACGCCGATAACTTGGTGCCCATATTAAACGTCAGGTGGGAGCATAGTGATGCTGTTGTTTCTCAGAGGCTGGTTTAGACTGAAAAGGAAATCTGGCCCTCTGAGGATCTAGATGAACGTTTAGTGGTGGGTTCTGGTCCATTTCCTTCCTCTGACTCAGGGACTCTCAAAACAGAGCCTAGCCTGGCTGGGTGTGTGTGTGGGGTTCTCTTTGTATGTCTCCAGGAAGATGTGTGCATGCCTTCTGTGGGTGTGCGTGCAGGAGTCTGCAAATCTGTGTGGGCCTGGGTGGTGCCCACCTGTGGCTGGAGGTGGGTGTGGCTGTGGAACAGTGGTGAGAAGGAGAACAGGAGTGGCTCCCAGAGAAGGTGGTCTCCGTTTCCCTCCGGATGACATGGTCTGTGGCTGGCACGTTCTTGGAGATATACTGCAACAGACACAGTTGGACAGGAGTTAGTGCTGGGTGATGGAGTTGGCCCTCTTTCCAGGTGGTGATGGAGAAGCAAAGCACTAAGCTCTAGGTTGGGGAGTTGTCCACTGGATAAGTGACTTGGTGTTAGGGCAGCGATGACCCCAGCAAATCAACCCCTTGAGGAAGTAGGTAGAGCGAGGCCAGTCATCCTGGTGAGGCCAGGCTAGCAGGCAAGACTGAGCATGAGATGGGCTGGCTGCTGCCCTGGCCTGGCCTTGCAGGGGGCATGACGAGGCTGGCTAGCCAGTGAAGGCTCCAAGGGGTTTCTGGGAACACCACTCACATCTGCCATCTGGATCTCCTCAGGGTCCAGCCGGGGGTGGCTGGGGCCATTGGCCAAGCTCCGGTTCTGGTGGGCTGGGCACATGTTCTGCCGGAGGTGACTATGCATCTGCTTTCGCTGTTTTCTGCACAGGAGAAGGGTGTGTTAGCCTGGTACCCACCCCCCACATGTGTATGAAGTTCCCTAGCTATCCCTCCAGGGGAACTCTTCTCCTTCTGCCTGGATGCCAGGGCCTTCTCCTGCTACTGCTCTTCCTGCGCTCCGGCTGCTCGCAGATCTACCTCCTCCACTCGCACCACCAGCTTGGATTTGGCAGGACCTGTGCGAATGGGTTCTGAGCTTTGGCTCTGCTGAGAGACTAGAACTCCACCATTCCTAGCTGTGAAATCCTGGGCCAGTTACTTAAAACTCTCCATGTTTCACTTTCCTCATCTTAAAGTGGGTGACCACTTTCCCATTCCCAGTCCACTGAGAATTAAGAGCAGATAAAATACTCAAGCAGTGGTTCATTCATTCATTCATTCGCTATTTCTTGGGTTTTTACCATGTGCCAGATGCTGTTTTAAAACAGAGAAGGTGACAGACATGATCCCTACCCTCATGGAGCTTGCACGCCAGTAGGGAAGGCAGATAATAACCATATAAATTAATGAACAAGGTACTTTTGGTAAAGTGCAATGAGGAAAATAAAACATGGAGCTATGGTGAGCTATGCTTGTGGGACTACTCTACTTTGGCCATATTAAGTACCCAATATGTTTGTTCTGTAATGATCCATTATGTCACTCTCCTTGAAAGGCCTGGACTGGCCCTCTCTCACGGCCCTCTCCGCACCCTTGCTCTGGCCTCTGAGGGCTCTGTTCTGATCCTTCACTGTGCTGGTCGCCTCTGGCCTCTGCGGCTCTGCATATAATACTACACTCACTGGAACACACTCGGCCTCTTCACCTGCTAACTCCTACTCTTCTTCCAAGCTCAGCCTAAAAGCTTCTTCCTCGGGGAAGCCCTTCTTGGCCCCCAGTTGAGACTAGGCACCCCCAAAATGTACCCCGTTACACTGGAAACCTTGCTTAGAGCACCAGCCATGTGCCTGGTGGAGGGCCTGGTATCCAGGAGGGCACTGAATGAAAGTTTGTTCATTAAATGAATAAATGCACTGGAGCTTAGAATAGGGGTTTGCTTTTCTCCTAGTTCTTGACCTCAGTTTTTCTTGTTGGGCCCAGTCTCCTCTGGGCTCCTTGCGCTCTAACTCCCAAGGCTGGCAGGGCTTCAGATTCCATGGGTAGGCACAGCAAGAGTCAAGACTGAGGGACTCAGTCCCCTAAGTAGTGGTTAGGCCCAGACCTGTCATTTTTTCTGCACTACATCACTCTAAAACCGTCATGGACTCCCTATCATTTATAGGATGAATCCAGGCTCCCTAGCTTAGGATTCAATGCCCTATGCCCTGGTCCCTTACGTACCCTTGTATGTCCAGCTGTCTTAGAGTCCTGTTTCTCTTCTTCTTGACCCCGGGCCTTTGCTCCAACTAGTCTGGACTGCTTATGCTCTTGGAACACAACTGATCCTTTCTAGCATTTGTCTGTTACCTTGCACTATTCTACAGGAACTGCCCAGCACCCCCTTTCTGCACCCTTCTTCCCCTTGCCTCGAGGTTCTTCCCTCATCTTTCCTCTGCCTAGATGTGACCCAGCCTCATCTTTGCTGTGTTCTGGCCTAGCTCTCTTCTGGGTGGGACTACACAGTCCCTCCTGAGGCCTCTTTGTCCCCTGGGAAGGTAGCCTGCCTTTCTGTGCTTCCCCATCCCCAACACAGCTGCAGTGTGCCTGCCTGCCTGCCTATTTGACAGGGCAGATGCTCCTACGCAGTGTCCTCCGAGGTACATACTAGGATCATTCCCACTTTCCAGATGAGGACTCTGAGAAGTCTATCCATTTGCTCAGGATCATGGCAAATGGGAGAGCTGAATTTGAACCCAGATCTTTCTTCTTCCAACACCTGTGCTCTTGACAATTCTTATTCACTGCTCTGGGGCCTGTCTTCTCTTCCCTCTGCTCCTGCTTCTTGGCCCAGCCCTTTGGCCTTGTACCAGCTCAGAGGCCTCTGCAGGGGCTGTTGGGGCACAGGAGGGTGGGGGGTGGTTAGGCCAGACATTGGGGTGGGTGGAGGGGTTAGCAGTCCTGGAGGCCCATCCCTAGTTGGGCTTCCGCAGGCCCGGGTGCCTGGCACTTACTTGGTCTTGCAGTAGGCGACCACGCAGACAATGCCCACCACCAGCAGTGCCACACAAATGCCAGTAATAGTCAGGACCCTCTTCTGGTACAGCTCCTCGGCTTCTGCAGAGGCAGAGGTAGAGAATGTGAGGGAACCGGGCAGGAGGCAGATCTATGGGGACAGTGATGCAAAGATGTCCCCCTTCCCACCCCCAAAGCTTCGGGCTCCTGTCAGCTCAGGGCCTCCCAGCTCCTTGTATCTCCTTCCCCAGCTAGCCCCTCCCTCCTGGATTGCCTTCTGTTGCCCCAAAATCTACCCACCATGGATCTGGTCCCAAGTGACTACCCCTAAATTCACCTTCCCAAACCATACACCCTGCCCAGAGCATGTGAATGGAAAATGCAGGGGGATGGAAGTGAGTAGGATGGAGGTGAAATTCCAAAGACTATAGTGGGGGCAACCCATTTTGACCAGCAACCTTGACCGACTCTACAATGGCCTCAGAGAGCCTGGATGGGCTGGGCACAGGTGTTCTTCAAGGCAGTGAACATGTAGACCCTGGGCAAAGGCCTGGTTTGCCGTGTCAGCTTTGCCAAGAAGTGGAGAGTAGTTTGTGCTGGGCCAGTGACAGACCCAGAGGTTGGACCTAGGAGGGATGCCAGGAGCAGGGACAGAGCAGACCAGGCCCATAGAGTGGGGCATGGAAAGAAAGACCTTGGTTTACCCCTGGGCCTAGAAAGCACATGGCCCTGGCCCACTTCAGCCTTTCCCTTTGCTTTGAGAAGCCCATGAGTGGCAGCATGGTCCCTGATGCCTACAACAGTTCTTGTGCTCACGGAGCAGCCCCCACCCTTTCAGAGGAGCTGAGCTAGGCTGGGCTTCAAAGCTGTCACAAAGAACCGACTATCCCCTCCACCTCCCATTTCTTGGTGGGGCAACTCCAGCCCTTCTAGAGCAGAGAAAACAAGGAGGAAGAAAAGGAAAAAGGGGACAGCAGGAGCCTAGACACTCCCTGCCCCTTCCTACACCTGCCAGCTGGCCCCTTCTCACAGCTCCCTCTCCCCAGTACAGGGACACATGGAGGCCAGACCCCAACACCTAGGGAGCCCTGGGAAATGTCCCTAAGTCCTTGGGTTTGCAGCACCTCCAGTGTATACCCACTAGCAAACACTGGGAGTCCAAACCCTCCAGACACACATAGCTTTAGAACTCTGCCTATCTGTACACAGACACCTTCACAGAAGTTCTCTCATACATGTCTAGGGAAGCATATACATACACGCCATCATGCAGTCTTAAACAGCCCTCCACCCTGGACCCCCCTCTCTGGGCTCTGTGGTCCATGTCCTGCCTCCAGTTCTCATCCCTGCCCACCCCCCCAGTCCTCTCCAATGGGATATCTGTCTCCATCACTCCTTTGAGACCGCTCTGGTCATGGTCACCGACAATGTCCTACTGCAAAGTCCCAGGGTCATCTGCTTCCCCGACAGCTGACTCCCCGGGTTGGGCCTACTCCCCCTGGATGGTTCTTCTCTCCTGGGTGTCCTCCTCCCCCACTGGCTGACCTGTTCAGTTGCTGCTTCCTACTTTTCTATGTGGGCCCAGAGCTCACAGGCTGCTTTCTTCCCTCCACCTGCCCTCCTCTCCTGATCTCATGCAGCTCACGTGAAAACTATATGCAGGTGACTCTCAAATTTGTATCTCCTGCCCTGACTTCTCCCTGAGCTCCAGACTCCTCTACCCAAGGGCCAAGGCCAAACAGAAGTGCAGATTCCCCAGCTTCTTTCCAGACCTGCTCCCTGCCCTTCTCCTCCTGTCCGTGGCAGCCCCTGTTTTCCTGTCACTCTGGCCCCAGACCTTGGAATCACTGCCAATGAGTCCTTTCTCCCACCTGCTCTGATACCTGGTGCTTTAGCAGCGCTTCTCAGCTCTGCCTCCCAAGTAGAGTCTGGCATGGACCACTTCCACCACTTCTAGTTCAGTCCAAGGTGATGTCAACTCTCACCTGGACAGCTGGTCACCTCTGCCTCCACTCCTCCCAGCCTGTCCCTCAGCCCAGTCTGTTCTTTGCCCCAAAGCCAGCAGACCATTTACTTATTTTCTTAAAACTCACAATGGCTGCCCCCTGCAACTTGAGTCCAACCCAAACACCCAGTATGGCCTAGGAGGCCAGGGTACTGTCCCAGCCTTCCTATTATGTCCCATTGGTGGTCCAGTCCTCATGTCTGCTGTGCCCAGAGTTGCTGGCATTCCTTCTACCCATTGATTAAGGCAAGCTCAGTCCAATCACACCATACCTAACTTGCCGTGTCCCCTCCTCAAACACTCCCCCTGCTGTCTGCAGGTTGCCTACTTTCCATCAGGTTTTAACCCACATGTTACCCCGCAGAAGCCTTTCCTGGCCACTTAGCTAAGGTAACTCCCTCCCCAGCTAGGCACCGTCCCATCACCTTCTTTTATTTGGCATGGCACTTACCACCACCTGATATCTTTCCTGTTTGTTGTCTGTCTCATCCTGTGAATTTGAGCACCGGGAGGGCAGGGACTCTGTATGCCAGATCACCAGTCTGGCAAATTCTGGGGTTCAGTAGATGCTTGTTGAGTTGGTGCAGGAATGGACATACAGACCACCATTACAAACACAGACGTATTTGAGCCCACTCACATTCACCTTCACACCCTCACAGTGCCACCTGCACGATGCTCAGCCCTTAACACAAAGATGTCCCGCTGCACACCTTCATGCACTCAGCATCCTGTACTGGGAGGCCTCACAGGGTATGTGACATCTCCGCCCCCCACAACATACACACCCCTGCAGGTCTGCCTCACATACCCCTGCCAGGATCATACACACCACGCAGACTCAGCCCTTCTCCTCCCAACCCATCACTGGCAGCAGACAGACACACTCTTGCATAGACTTTGAGCTCTGTCTTCTGAGAAGAGCTGACAGGGGCTAGGTGGTGAGGGAGCTAGTGCCTCCCCAGACCTGCCTCCAGAACAGCCTTTTCATACTGCAGATTCTGCACTGCATCTGACCCCACCAAAGCCTCGACCCTTCTGAGCCCCTGCATTTTTCCTGCTGTAACATGTCTGGACATTTGAAGTTGGGGTGGAGCCTCCCAGCACAGAGAGAGGACAGATGACCCCTTCAGGTCCCTTCCCACTCAAGGTGTCTCCCGGGGCCCAGAGGGCAGTAGTGGGAGGGAAGTGAGGTTCTGAGCCAGGGAGCAGGAGGGCAAGTACCAAAGGCCAGCTTGCCCTAGACCCTGGCTTATCTTGCCCACAGGCAAACACGCCTGCCATTGTGGAGACAGTTCATGGAGGGAGTGACAGCCTCAAGCAGATGGCAAAGCCTGGTAGACAGACACAGGGCAGGGGCCAGAGGCACACAGGTGTTCTCAGCTGCCAGTGCAGTGCAGAATGGAAAGCCATGGAAATGGAAGTGGGAACAGAAAGGAAGATTAGAGTTAAACTGAAGAGGATGCCCCTCTGCACAACTCTCCAAGCCAGGATTCTGTGGCTTCTGGACACCAGCTCTGCGGAGGCCCGACTGTTGTCCGGCCAACCTACTGGGTAGCACAGCTCAGGCTGCTCCTCCCCCGTGAGGCCTCCCAGTGACCAGCCTCAGGCAAGGGGCTGCCACTGTACACAGGGCACACAGTCTGAACCCTAGGGTGCTCTGCTCTTCTGAGCTCCTTGTCTACCCCAGATCAATATAGTTTATGATAGGACATCTTGGTGGGGCCAGAGGAGATTTTTGGAATCATCCCTTTTCCATTTTGGGGGAAGGAAACTAAACGTCCAGCACACATGGTGTCAGAGGCTGCGGAGAGGAGTGGTGTGGATGGCACTGACCAATACATAGAGCTCCATACCCTTTAGTTCAAATCCAAGGTGCTCTGGCAGTGCAGAAGAGAAGAGGGTCACAGAGGGGAAAGGATGGAGGGAGAGATACAGAGAGAGATGGAGGAGTGGGGAGGGCGGGGGAGGGCAGGAGGGAGAGAGGGAGGGAGAGAGAGAGAGAGAGAGAGAGAGAAACGTTGGTCAGGACTCTTCAGACACCAGCAGCCAGCCTGTGAGGTGAAAGCAGGTTAGTGGTGTCCCCTCCCGGCCTCCTGAGCCCCCACCCTGGCATTCAGTCCCCAAGACCCCTGAAGGAGGGTGGAGAGAGGAAATGTTAGGATCAGCAGGCAGGGCAGGTTCTTTAGAGATGAGTTGTGGGGTTAGTACCTGGTGGGGAGGCAGAGGCGCGAGAGTCAGTTGGCAGGTGCCCCAGGGAAGAGAGGTGAGTGGGGGTGGTGGTCTGAGGAGTCCCTATTTCCCTGCCTCACCCTGGCTCCAGTGCCAGGATTTCCATATTCTCATGCCCCGCCTGGAGACTGCCTGCTCAGCGCTGAGCTCATTCATTAGGCCCTCTTCTCTGTTCAGAACAAGGGCATGGGGCTGCTCAGGCTGGCCCTTGGCTGCGTCCTGCCTCCAGAGGTGTGGTTGGCCTGCTCATCTACAGGGACCCTGGGCATGGAGACGCTTGAGTATATGCGGAGAGGAGGAAGCTCCAGGCAGCAGGTCATTTCTCCACATGACACTTCAACACCCTAGAAGCCCACAGGGCCTAGGCCCTGGGGTTTGAGTCAGATTTCACTACTTAGAAAAGCAAACTGCTACTTGTAGGTAGAGCCCAGTGCATTCACCTGTAGAACATGTGGTGTCAGATGGTGGGCCAGTTGTGCTTTTTGAAGTGGAATCATATTGTAAGTGTGTGCTTCCAGAGCCCTGTGAGGTGGGCACCCACACCATAGAGGGGTTAGATCAAAGGGCCCCTGCCCAAGGGCCAGCCCTGCCCCAGACCCGCTGCGTCTCCAAGTGCACCCAGCCTTTCCACCTCTTATCTCTTCTCTCTTAAAACTGGGTCTCTGGGAGCTCTGCCACCTGGCTTGCTTCACAATCATTCAGGACAATGGGATCAGGGTCTGGGGTGGGAGCCCAGAAATCTCTACAGTGTTTCTGAAAAGTTCACCTACCATTCTCATGTAGCCAGCACCCATCCATCGGCTCTGAGTCTGTTTGTCCCTAACTTGCTGTGGTGCATGTGGGCAAGTCTAGTCTCTGTTTCCTCATCTGTCAAAAGTGGCTGTACACAGTGAGAGGAAGATGCGAGAAGCCCAGACAGCGGGCCACTCAGTGCATGTACAGCAGCCCAGTCTGTGGCCTCCCTGCGTATACAGGCAGCTCATGAGACCCAGGGAGGAGGTAAGATTGTGTTCTGACGTTCTCATCTCCTCTAGAGGAAGGAGAGCATGGGAACCATCAGCAGGAAGTCCTGTGCTAGTCCTGCTGATTGAGTCCCTGGGTCTGACTGGCTGGTCATGAGAATGACCACCTGGAGAAGCGAATGAGGCTGAAAGCCATTGAGGACTTTTCTTCTGCTTCCCTGCCCTGGGAACCAAATAATAGTGACAGCATCTTCTGGGCCTCCTCAGTGACCTTCCCTTTCAGTCAAAGGCCGGTCCCATTTGGGGGGAGTGGGGGACCAGTGGTGGCCAACAGGACAGGTGAGGTCATGGAGAGCTTGCTCAGTCTCCAGGAAGGCAGCCCTACTTCCCTCTCACCAGGGATACAGTCTGAGGGGCCTGTGGCTAAGTCTGCTCCTGTCAAAGAGGTCTCCCACTCATCATGTTCATAGGCTGCCACTCAGCCTGTATGGAGTGGTACCACCGAATCACAGACAGGTCTTACCAGCAGAAATTGGCATACTGACCCATGACCATGGCAACCTGATGCTGGACTCCCAAGAGGGCTAGGTTATCGGACAATATACAAAGTCATCATCCTGGACATGTCCTGTGACACACAGTTACAGGGTCCTGGCCGAGGAGGCCATGATGTGGGGCCCCTGAGGAGAACACATGCTCATGCATCTGCACAGGTGTGTACAGGGGTGAGCAAATGTGTGTGTTTTGCATGTGAATGCAGGCACAAGCTTGTGTGTTTGGGTATGTGTGAATGTGTTTGCACATGTGAGTATATGCTTATGTGTTTGTGTAGATGTCCATAGCTGTGTGTGTTCTTTCACTTGAGGGATATATAGATCCACAAAGTTTGACTCTTGGGAAATGGAGGGGCTGTCAGGGGAAGAAGAGAAGCTTCAAAGACCTCTTGTGGCCAGAGGCTCCATTTCCATGGCCATTGCAAAAGGTAATCTGGTCTAGGCTGTCTGGGCAGAGGGGCAATGTCAGACACTTGGCTCAGGACTTGCTGGGAGCCAGCCTCCAGGACACTAGAGCTGGTCCTTCTGCCCCCTGCCCCACGCCAGCAGTAGCTGGGAGAGGTGCTAAGCTGCCCTCCAACTACAGCAGCAGGCTCTCGATAAGGCCTCCTTACGTATCACTGCACTTCATCCTCACTGGCACCCCTCCAGGTGTAAATGTTACTATCCCCATTTTGCAGGTGAGAAAACAAACTCAGAGAGGTTCCATGAAGCCCCAAAAGTAGTGAGCTCAGCAGCTGGCATCTTTATTCAGATCTTTGTGAATCCAAAGCCTGAATGAACACTTCAGCTTGCATTTTTTTTTTAACTACCTTTTCAAGTATGTGATAGAACAGTATACAAAGTGCTCTGGGCAGAGTATGTGAAGAACATAAATCCTCCATGAAAAGGTAGCAGCCATGATCCTGATAACACTAGGCGGAAAGGCCTGTGGCAGCATTTCTAGGCTTTTTCTTTACCCTCCCCCCCCCACCCCCAGCCAAGGTCCTGCTGACCCTCTAAGCAGCTCTGAGCTGAAAGCTGAAGCAGCCCAGCTGGCAGAGAAGCTTGGCCAGTGGCCGAATTCCGGAGGCTCTGCTCCTCTGATTCATGATGGGATGGGACTCCCTTTCCAGAACAGTCCCATAAGCCAGGGAGGCTCTGGGACTGAGAGGGGAAAGGAACAGGCCCTCCACCGCCTCTCTCCCCTGCTCCTTAGCCTCAGCCTGGCCGCTCTGTTTCCTGTTGAGGCCCCTCCTGATCTATGGTCCTGCAGTGGGGCTGGATCTGACTTTGCAATTCTTCCAGGAACCTGGGCTCTGCAACATTCTATTGGACCACATGCCCTGTCCACAGCTCTGCTCTTATTCCCACAGCTTTCCTTCCTGGCCTCCAACCCAAGGGGCCAAGTGCTGCCTCCCACACACTCTGTGAAGACAGCTGACCATCCTGGCTGCCCAGCCCCCACCTCCCTGGGGGCCTCTACTTTCCTCTTTAAGTCTTGGCTTCCAGGCTCTAGCAGGGAGAAGGAGGCAATGATTTCTAGGCTTTTATGATGTGGCCTAAGGAGGATTGGGAAGACTCATTACTCTGCCCGGAGTCCCAAACCCACAAACCCTTTTACTCCAAAGGGCCACCTAAATGCTTCCTGGCTGTCCCCCCAACCCCCATTGTGTTCTCTGGGCCTCTTCTGGAGCTCCACCTCTTTCTGCCCAGGCACCATCTCTTTGGCTTCTAATTCTTCATGGGACCCAGCTGTCCTCCTTGGAGAGGGGGATGTGGGGGTGGGCCGAGCTGGGGCTTAGACTGCTCTGGAGGATGGCTGACCTCATCCTGGCTTGCAGGCTAGCTGACTGCTGGGCCCCCAAACAGAGTCTGGAGGTCCAGAGTCTGGCCTGGGGCTTTTTGCTCTGCTCCACCTCCACCTGGTGGCACTTGAAGAAATTGCTCCCGGCCTCAAAACGCTCCACAGTTATGGCCTTATCTTTCTGCTGCGGGGCTCATATTTTTTTTCCAGCTAACTATGCAAACCAGAAGGTTCAACCTCAAGTAGAAGAAAAGAAAGGAATGAAGTCCTGGATGGGGACTCAGACCAGAGAGGACCTGGAGAGAATCACCAATTATCCCGTGAATCCTCATGCCCTCTCTCTTTCAGCAGAGTGCAAACCCCCACACCACCCTGTCCTGGAGCCTAGGCGATGTCTCTGGTCTCTCTGGCTTCCATGGAAACCACTGCCTTGGGGCTTGTTCTCCCTCAATTCCCAGTTCCCCACTCTCCCCCATCACCCCAAATCAAAACCAAACAAACTCTGGCCAGACCCGAAGATAGGCTCTTTCAGAGAGCCCATTTCTCTCAAACATACTGGCACACACAAACGTGCGCACATTCACAGCCTGGCCCCACCAGTATGCGACCTCCTTAAACAGGCCTTAAAAGGCAGGCGAGGGCCCTGCTGTCTCTCCCACTGCTGGTCAGGCTGCCTGACCTGGGAGGTGCTGCCGAGACCTGAGTGTGGCTCCAGTCGCCTGCAGAGAGGATGCAGCGTTGTTTTGTCCAGCAAAGAGAGGGGGGTGGGGTGGGGGTGGCAGGGGGCACATCCGTCTCCTCAGAATAGGCTTTTAGTGAGCCCTGAAGACTAAGAGGAGCCCGGGACACCACCACTCTCCCCATACCTCCTCCCCCATGCCCCCCACCACCACCACCTAGTCTGGCTAAGCAAGGCCCCAGCCCTCCCGCACGGGAGATTGCCAGTCACCAGGGAAGGAAAGAAATAGAAGAAAGAGACATACTGGAGAAGTTGACCATTGCGAACTGCTGACACCTGTCCCCGGTGTATCCCACAGGACACCTACCAAAAGAAAGAAAACCAGAAAGAGAGAGCCAGGATAGCAAGACACAGGCATCACAACACCCCGGCACGGGCTCCTGCCGATGCCAGCTGGGTTCCTTGCCACCGTTACCGCTTGTACTGGCCTGGCCACTCTGCCCCTTACCTGCAGCCCTGAACTTTAAACCCAAGGATTAGGCCAAAAATGAAAAACAAAGCAAAACAAAACAAAACAAAACAGAAAAACCAAACCAAAACAAAACAAAACAGCCAAAGATCAAAACAACCAACACCCCTGGCCCTATGCCCTACATTGGAAGGGACTGCACCCGGAAGCTTTCTAAGGAGCAGGGACTTGTGTTTGTATCTTCAAACATACTTTGCTTAGGATCTGGCATGTACAATCGCAAAGGCAGTTTCTCCAAACATCTCTGTCCGAAGAATCCGTTTGGACATCTGGAGAAGGAAAAGGGGAAAAATCACAGAACAAACTGGCATCATCCACGAGGCTCAGGTTAGAAATCAAAGTGCACAGTGATGAATGAGAAAACCAAGTTGGGCACTGGGGCACACTCGTCACTGCAGGGGCTGGAGTCGGGGCTGGGGGAAGGGCTCAATCTTCCAAATCTCTCTAATTGATGTTGCTCCGTGGGTGGTGGGGGGCAGGGGTGGGGCAGAGAGGAGGATGATTTAGGGAAGTGGGTGGGGAAATTGGGAACCTCATCCCTAACTGTCCTGTGGTCCATTGAGACTTTCCTTCTGACCTGCCTGGGACCCCAAAAAGAACGGTAGCCCCTTGGTGCCAGGCAGTCAGGCAGGGTGCTGGGAGCCTTCCAGAAAACAAGTTCTGCAAAGCCACTCCTTCCAGGCCCTACCAACGGCTTCTCTCGAGGGCCCTGGGCAGGTTTTCTCATCCATGAAACAGCCCCCAGAAAGCTCAAAGGAGAACTTCGGGAATGTTGTTCCCAGACTGTGTGCCCATGACAAAAGTGACCTTGGAGATGTTTCATCTGTTCTCTCAAAGAGGGTTCTGTGGCCAAATAAATCTAGGAAATCCATTCCCAGGCTTCTTTGTAGAGCTACAGTGCACGCTGGCATATGAAAGGCTAGGAGAAGTTTTGTAGGAGGAAAGAGCCAAATATTCCAGTGTGTCCCAAATTTATTTGACCATGGAAGATGTTTCCCGAGGAACCCTTGTGAACATGGTTTGGGGAAGGCTGCCCTGGAGCAATACATGGGGGTAAAAGGCTTAGTGGTGAACAGGTGAGGCTGAAGAGGAGCTGGAATTACCAGCAGCTCAAAGCTGGCCTGCCCAGGCCAGGTGTAGGGTGGCAAGAACCACAGTCACAGGGTGGAGGGGAGGGCTGAAGCAGGCTCCCTGAGGACCCTGAAACCTCTTCCAGTCAGGGGCCTCCTGGCTGCCTGGGGTGCCTGTCCTTTCCCCCAGGACCTGCTACTCCATCAGTGCCTGGCTCTGGGAGTGCGTTCTCACGTGTTGGGTCCTCTGTAGCTGCAGAGCACCACCCACTCTCCCTGGCCATGTCTCTACCCTCAAGATCCATTTTCTTCTGTTCTCTGGCCGCCACTCTCCTCTCAAGGGGGTCCCTGTCTTGCAGATTTCCGAGATACATGCCCAGCCCTGTACTATCTTCCAAACCCCAGCAAGGCCAGATACCCTAAGGGAAGTTTAGAGACAGGGCCAGACTGACCATCCCACCCCCAGCCCCTACTCAGAGATGGGTTTGGGCTGCCTCTGCCTCCTCTTCTTTAGGAAATGAGGTAACCCCATCACCGGTGTTCCCTCAAAAATAGGTCACTGTTCAACATGAATCAGTAAACTTCCTCAAGAGGTGAGTGTACTCTACCTCTTAGCATTCTCATGGATATCAACCATCAGCGACCCCTTGAGCTTATAGGGGACGGTTGCCGTTGGCTGTGATGGACACTCACAGAAATCCCATTGCCCCCATCTAGCCTGGGGGACTGGGAATGGTTGGTGGGCAGACAGCTGGAACTTCTCTGGGCCTTGATGGCATTTCCCTCTGGGGAGGCAGGAGGCTGGTCCTTGCAGTGGTGGCAGTGTCTGTGGAGGCCCGCCTGGCCAGCGGGCAGTGGTGGAGGGCTGGGAAGTGTGTCTGGAGAATGTGGCGGGAGTGGGGGAGTTTACAATGGAACTTGATGCACACTCAGTCCTGTTGAACAGGGTGGCTCGGAGGAGGAGGAGGAGGCTACCATCCTGTCAATGCATCCTTCTCTGATCTAAGCATCCCATCCCAGGAAAATGAAGGTATTTGCTAAGGCTTCCCAACCAGCTCCAGGCAGGCTCAGCTCTCCTTCCTCAGCTCTCAGAGACTGATGTCCACTTGGGATGGGGGCTGGAGAGAAGTGAGTTTTAAAGCAGCAGCACCTTTGGAGAGGAGGATAAAGACTCAGGAAGTTGCCAAAATGACTCTTGGAATCCGCAAAGGAATAAGAAAGAGATAGGTTTGACTGTGTCCAATGTCTGAGATTAGCCTGGCTCGTGTGTGTGTGTGTGTGTGTGTGTGTGTGTGTGTGTGTGTGTTTCAGAGAGAGAATGGGGTAGTGCAGGGACAGGAGGGGGCCAAAGCGGAAATTTATTCCCACTGCTGACAGTCAGGGAAGCTGTCCTATGGCTCTTGGACACTGATAAGTAAGTGTATCCCTGCATCTCTGATCCCGCACCAGCCTGGACTAAACCGACTATATTCTATCTTTCATGGCCACTGAGTTGTACAGCTCCGGGTGCTGAGTCTATGACATGAGTGTGCCCCCTGGAGTTGAGAAATATGGTCTTAATCTTCCTGCCCTGGGAAAGTGTGTTCCCTGCTGGCTGAACAAAAGGAAAGGCTGGGGGAAGGGCACAGCGCAGGAGTTTGGGGACTGACACTGTATACTGTTCTTTGGGTACCAGATCTTTCTAGCAGGCTCCTGGACCCTCCTTACCACTACTTATTGAGAATGGGCCACATCCAGGAGCCCGGGGCTTCCCTGGGGAAGATTCTGAGGCTGGGCCTAGAGCCTTGCTACCCTGCACTCAGGACCAAGTAACAGGGCACGGACTAAATAAACCTACCAACAATGAGGGGGTTCTGACCCCATGACGGGAGCTGCCTGGTAGTGGGTAGGTTCTCACTAAAACAGGGATGGGCCCTGTGAGTTTCAGGGGCACAGGGGACAAATTAGAAGGAGCGGTAGGTCATAGCTTTCTCAGCCCTCCCCCAAGTCATCAGCTCTGACTATGGGAGGGTCTGTGCCCAGGGCTGGAGAAGAGCAGAGGTGAGATGGGCAGAGAGGAGAGCCCATGGGCTATACCTGGGGTGACAGAGAGGTTGGGACTCTGCCTCCCCGTTTCTCACCCACCTCCTGGGCCTCAGTTTCTCCTTTTGGTAGCCTGGGGATAATGCCATGTGTGCTGCCCTCACCCGGGGGAGGGGGAGGATGAAGGATGAGGGTGTGCCCCGGGCACTGGAGGGGGTGAAGGGTCTCTGGCCTCATGAAGAGTGGGGTGGAGATGTGGAGAGGATGAGCAGGCAGATGGGTATGGGATGGGAGAACCATCTGAACATGGGGAGGGGGTGGGGGCAGGAGGGGCGGGGGATGAGCTTGATGGGAGAAGGAGGCATGCCGCTGGTATGTGCACAGGGCTGGAAAGAGAGTCTTGTTCTGTCATCATCCCCTGAACCAGTCCCCAAGAGTCACGCACCAACCGTGCTCTACAAAAACATGGAGAGAAGAGGAGAAAGCAGCAAGACGTGCAGAGGCCTCTGTCTGGCCCAGACAGGAGACAGTCACCTTGATTTGGACCCCCATTTTCAAATCCTCCTAAGTTTTCTAAAAACAAATCCAGTATCTGTGACACTGTTTATTTTGGCTCTGAATTCCAGAAAAACAGGAGGGGACAGAGTGTGCCTGCTTTCCAACACTCCCTGCAGGGCTCTGAACCAATACACAACAACAAGTGTCAGAAAACCAGGAAGGAAAACTGATTTTTATAGAAACTGGAATGAAACTGACCAGTCTAGTTTCATTATCCAAGCTAAGCGGAAATGCAAAAAAATCAAAATAAAAAGTAAACAAACAGCACAAATGGTAAGACGTGAGTTCCATTGCCTAGATTCTTTCCTTTTTATTCCATTCAGGTGTCATCAGGAATCCCAAGAAGCCTGCCCCCCCCTCCCTCCCCGCTCCCCCGCCCCCAGAATGGCCTCTGGGTTCCACCCTGCCCCCCTCCCCCCTGTCCTTCTCCAGCACAGCTCTGAGGACCTGCCCTCCTGAGAGTGATCCTCACCAGGGACGCCCCTCTCCCCTGGGGGCTCAGGGAGTCCGGGAAGTTGGTTCCAGGAGCCCTGGCTGGGGCTGACCTAGGGCAGGTTGAAATGGGGACATAGTGATTTTGGGTACTAACTTCGCGTTGTAAGCGGTGAACCCCAGTTGCCCACAGGACCCCATCTTCACAGTGATTTAGGCTCCTGCCCTCTGAGAGAATCTCAGATTTAGCTGGGTGTGACTTAGAGGCTCCTAGGGGTGTATGGCCTGGCTGGCAGGACCCTGTGCAAACCCACCTAGCTCATCGCATCTCACTCCACACTGTACACTCGCACTGAGCCCTGGGCCCCCGTGGCCTTCCTTGGCCCCGGCACCCATCCTGTGTGGCTGAAACCTCTCCTGCCTGGAGCCAGGGCTGATCTCACTTGAGGCTGCTGGATTCTTTCAAAGTTCTGGGGTCCAGTGGGGCTAAGGAAAAGGAGAGGACTGGTGTCTGTGTGTGTGTGTGTGTGTGTGTGTGTGCATGTGTGTGTCGAGGGGTAAAAGAGGGGCCTACAGGGCTGGGTGAAGTCTGTGAGGTCCGCCAGAACCCTTGTGAGTTTCTATAGATCTATTGCAGAGGGCTGAGAGCATTTTCCTGGCTAGAATGTTCCCTGGGGTCTGTTGCATGAATATGGCAGCCCTCTGAGAGGCAGAAGAAGGGGAAGGATGAGGAGCTGCTGCGTCCAGGCTGAGAACTTCCCTGAGGGGTCTGCTGTTGCTGCTGTGACAGTCCCCTGCAATTCCGGATGGAGGAGGCCAGCCAAGGGATGGCAGCAGGTGAAGGGTGGGGCTGGGGGAAGCCAGCAGAGGAGGCCAGCTGGGGCAAGAGGCACCCATCTGCCTGGCTGTCTGGGCCGTCTAGCCTAACACTGAGGGGAATGTGGAAAAGGCTCGGCCTCTCATTATCACCCTATGAGGTGGAGGGAACTCGGGCTAAGGCCCTCGGCAATGGGGAGATGCGGCTCTGGAGCTGGAGCCCAGAGGCAGGAGAGCTGAGAAGTGCTGAATCTGACCTTGTCTGTGGGGAGAGCAAATGCCCCCCTCTCTGAATTTCCACCAACACTCTGGTGGCCTTTCCAGATGCCTCGTAAATGGGGCAACTCTGGCACCTTGCCTGGGCCCTAGGCTTGGGGTGCTTTGAAAACTCCAAGTTGTTAACTAGTGCCTCCCACCCCTCCTCAGGATCTGGCCAGAACCTGTGCTGCCCTCACTGAGCTCTCCCTTTGGCTCCGTATTCACCCACCAGAGACTCCCTCAGGGGGCCCTAGGGGCCCAGTTGCTTGACTAGGAACGAGCTGGACCTGAACAAGCCCTCCTCGATTACTGTGCTCCCACCTGCCCTGTTTGCTAAGGGGAGCAGGATGGAGATCCTGCTGAGTAGCCTTGCCTGTCTAGAGGAAGAGAAGCCCCAACTCAAGCTTCTCCTCAATCCTGACCTCCTCCATTTTAGGCCACACCAGAGTGGTGTCCTTTCTCCCCATAGAGAGGGGCTGGGGTCTGAAGCAGAATAAGCAGCACCCAGGGCATATCTGGACACCAGGCAAGGAAAGCAGCCAGGTCTTGAGGCGAGCACTGGATGGTCCTTGTCTCCCCTCAAGGCTATTAGAGCAGACCCTCCACAACTGAGGCTCTGGGAATTGTGCTTTGTCTGACCCTGCCAAGCTCCTCACTGCTGGGAGAGACACACCCTGGGAAATGTTTGTCAGAACAGTTTGGAGAGTTGCTGAGAGACTGGGGGAGAAAGGGGGGGGGGGGGAGACAGCGAGGGGGGGGAGAGAGAGAGAGAGAGAGAGAGAGAGAGAGAGAGAGAGAGCCCAGTACCTAGGGCATAGATTGGAATCCCCATCTCCCTAAAAGTTGTTGGTGAAAGGGTGGACACTGGGAGATGGAGTGGGTTGGGGCCTGAGAAACTGGCACTGCAGAAGCCCCGAGCACTTGAGAGTTTACATCTCCCTATATTCCCGGAAAGGGCTAGGGAGAGGGGCAAACCTCCCTGTCTAAACCCCTTGGGGACCCCCTGTCCATGGCTGGAAGCCCGCTTTTCTTTCCTAGAGCCCTCTGCTCCTGCCCAGCCTCACGCTACTCTTGCCCCAGAGCCGCCCGCACTGGTCACTTACTTGCAGGAGAGCTGGTTGATGCCCTCAATGTAGTAGCAGACACCTCCGTTGACACAATAGGACTTGGCTGTCTCGTTGCACTTTCGGGCGTGCCCCGACCAGGATGACAGAGTGGTACTCACTGGAGGTATGAGAGACATGTGCCAGTGACACACTGAGACCACCTCTGGGCCCCAGGAACCACCTCTTTCACACGGTGCTTCATGGCCCCTCTCAAAGCTGGAAGATCAGGAACTGCAGGAGTAGCTGGAGAGGGAAGGTCTGGTGGTTCCTACCAGTCACCAGCAAGGCAGAGCGGAGGCCACCAGGAGTTCTGACTGTTTGCCCAGCAACACTTGGCGCCTGTACTCTGGGCCAATGTCTTCCCAACTCTAAAGGGTAGGAAGATTTTCTTTATTTGGGAGGGGATGAGGACCTAGCAGAAAAGTCCTTCTTCTAACAGGTAAGAGCCCACGTCTGGCTTGCCTTTCTAGGGGCTTCACCATAGGTGGAAGAGACCTGATGTCTTCCGTGGGGAACAAAGTCACAGGGGTGCAGGGAGGAGACCTCTACACTGCTTGGGATCTCGAGGTAGTCCAGGAGGTAGCTGGAAGTGAGCTGGGTTTTGAGGGGAATGCCACCTTCTGGATACTCATTCTCTAAGATAGAGAGAGACGGGGTGGGGGGTGGGGGACAGGGGAGGGGGAAGAGAATCTTGGCTTTCATGTCTTCCTCCTTTGTCCCAGAGGGGACCAGCCTCTCGGGACTGCTACAAAGGCTACTCTGCCCCTCTCCGTGAGCACCCAGAGTTTTCTTTGTCTCTGCCCTGATCAGGCAGCCCCATCCTCCCCCACATAGTCAGCTGCTGCATCTGAAGGGAGCCTCGAGGTCTCGACAGCCCTGGCGATAAATCCAGGGGGTCAGGTTGCTGGAGAGGAGGTGGGCTTGGAAGAGGCCTGCAGGGTGGCTGGGACGTGGACACCGGGTGAGAGTGAGCTGGGGCTTTAAGGCTGCTGACCTGGATTGCACATCCAATGGATCAGATTCATTCGATGAATGAAAATAACACAAGTTCTGTACCCCCAGGGGATGGCATCCAGAAAGCAAGTAAAAAGTCTGGGCCCCAGTATTGGTTTTCATCTGTGAGCTAATTCCCGAGGCAGCGTATTCAGGCTGGGTAGCACTTCGACCCTCAGAGGCTCAGAGGATCTCCCGCTTCCACCCGGCAGTGGCCTCCTGCACGAGGTGAGCCACACTGCCTCGGTTGCTCCCATCTCTTCAGGGGGTACAGAGGTACAGAGTCCCTACCGGCCCCCTGTGGGGATGGGATTGAGAGGAGGAGGAGGGGGGCAGGCACTTGGCGCCCTCAGTGTTTAGACATGTGGGAGACAGATGGAGCGCGGGGCTGGGAGTGTATACACAGCGTCACTCTGTATATGTCTGAAGAACTCGCTGATAAAACCTGGTGGGCAGGGCCCGCTCCCACTTTCCCTCCATGCCGTGCCTGCTGAGGCTCTGGCACCCCCAAGCCCCATCCCCGAGGACGTCTCCACTCAACGCGCAACCCACACTCAGCTGGGACAGGAGGCCTCTGCTGGTCTCTGCCCGCTCTGGGTCAAGAAGACCCCGGGAACCAGAAATGGGACAGGGAAGAGAAACAGCTGAGGTGACCTTGTCTATGAGTTGTGAAATAGGACAACCAGAGGTTGCCCTGCCCTGTGTTACACTGCTGAGGAGGAGTGAAGGAAAAGAGCAGAGGGAATGCCTGCCAGAGTCACAGGGTGTGTTGTAACTAGCCCCTGGGACTCCTGATGCCTGGTTGAGCATTCTCACCAGCCAGCTAGGCCCTCATGGAGGAAGAACGTGTCAGCACCAAGGCCTGACATAAGTGGACGGGTGCAAAATGTGATGTGGACCATAGGCTTGGTCCTCTCGTAGGCACTGACTGAGGCAGAGAAGTCTCAGCCCAGCTGAGCCCAGCTGATGACCTCTGTGGTTGTAGGGGGCAGACTGCCCGCTGCTATGCCGAGTGGGCAGGGGACAGCACAGTGACGATGGTGGCGGGGGCTGTGGCTATAATATGTGGGCCTGTCCACATGCTTATCTATGCTCATGGAGGCCTTAGGAGGCAGAGGACGACTCTTGGAAGAAGATGGGGCCTCGGCTGGGATGCATGGCCTCTGCTTTCAGAGCCGTGTCATCATGAGGACTGGGCCCCAGGCCCAGAAAGGCAAAAAGTGTGGACAGTGGGGGAGCCAGTGAAGATGGGTCAGAGGAAACGACCACAGGTCTTCCCAGCTCAGAAAGAAGTACCTTGAGGCCACCCCCTGTGATAGCAGGGCCTTCCCAAGTCACTGGAGCCCAGCCCTGCTGGTGGTGAAGGCCTACGCCAATGAGACTTCCACACTGAAGATGGAAGTTCACGCTGTTCCAGCACATGTGGACTCCCAAGGCAGCACTTCTACACTTCCTTGTCAGCAAATCTATATTTTTTCACTGTGTTCTCTTGTGTTTGGGGAAGTGAAGGTGACATAAAGACTCCAAGTTGGAGACTCTGGCTGCTCCCTTGACACCCCCACTGGGATGGCCCCTGGTCTCCCCAAATCATGCGGGGCTCCTGATCATGTGCCAGGCCACTTGCTTACCCAGGCTTACTCATCACAGTGACTGAGCAGCACAAACCAAAGACCTGGAGGGCACCTTTAATTTATTCTCCTCTGTTGTTTTCTCCATCCATCCATCCATCCATCCATCCATCCATCCATCCATCCACCTTTCTACCTGCTCACAAGGCTCCGTCCATGTGTCCCTACCACTTCCCAGCCAAGGTCTCCATGGTCTCTTTCTTGGATGACCACAACAGCCTCATCACTGGTCTTTCTGCCCTCACTCTTGCCTTCCTCTCTCACCTTTTTGCTTCACTGCTGTCAAAGTGGTCTTTAAAACATGTAAAAGCGATCTATCCCTTCCATTTTCAAAACCCTCTAGTGGCTTCCATTTACCCACAGAATAAAGTCCTCCAACTCCTCCCCAGGTCTAATCTGGGTATCCCACCTTTCACATTTCATGTCCTGTCCTTCTCTTGAAGTATCTTCAGACTATACTAGCTTAGTCCAGTTCCTCTAACAAGCCAGGTGTCTTCCTGTCCAGGATTTTCAAAATAACGGTGTCCCAGAGAGGCTGCTCAGGCTCTTCCCTTACGTCTTCTCTTAGCTGTATACACTCATACTTATAGTACTTATTTTAACCTAACTAAATGACAAGCTCCTCCACCAGAATGTAAGCTTCATCTGGGCAGGGTCCATGTCTGTCTTGTTCACCAATGAACCCCAATGTTTAGAGTAGTGTGTGACATGTAACAGGTGCCTAACAAGTATTTGTATACAAATACAATACAAATACAAATATTTGTAATGAGCAAGTGAACATCTGATTCTTCAGAGTAAGGTACCTTCTTACTACCATCCCAGGAGCTGGTCTGGTCAACTTGGCCTTATGATGAGAACTTTTCCATAGACTAAAGCATTGTCTCCTATTAAATGCAAATCTTTCTGGAAGGTCACTGGGGAAAGGCAAATCAAAACCACAGTGAGATACCACTTCACACCCCCTCGGATGGCTATATTCATGAAGATGGATGATTATCAAGTGGTAGTGAAGATGTGGAGAATTTGGAATCCCCGTACCCTGCTGGGGGGAGTGTAAAATGGTACAGTCACTTTGAAACACTTGAAAAATTAAATACAGAGTTACCATACGGCCAGGCAATTCCACTGTTAGGTATATACCCAAGAGAACTATGTGCACACAAAAACTTGCTAATGAATATTATAGCAGCATTATTTATGAAAGACCAAATGGGGAAACATCTTGGATGACCCAACAATCCAAAATGCTGAATGTGATAAACAAAAAGCGGTATAGCCATATAATGGAATATCATGCAGCCATGAAAAGGAAAGAAGTACTAACATATTTTACAATATGGATGAACCTCAAAAACATTATGGTAAGTGCAAGAAACCAGAGTCCTACAATATATGGCCATTTATATGAAATGTCCAGATTAGGTAAATCTGTAGAAGCAGAAAATAGATTTGTGGTCAGCAGGAGGGGAATGGGGGAATAGGGAGTGAATGTTAATCGGCATAGGGTTTGTTTTGAGGTGATGAAAATGTTTTGGAATTAATGGTGATGACTGTTTAACCTTGTGAATATTCTAAAAACCACTGACTTATATATTTTAAAAAGGGTGAATTTTATGGTCTATAAATTATACCTTAAAAATCTGATTTTAAAAAAATGTCTGGGGGTGCCTGGGTGTCTCAGTTATTTAGTTGTCTGCCTTTGGCTGAGGTCATGATCCCAGGATCCTGGGATTGAGCCCCACATCGGGCTCCCTGCTCAGCAAAGAGCCTACTTCTCCTTCTTCCCCTGCTCTCACTCTTTCTGTCAAATAAATAAAATCTAAAAAAATTTTTTTTAAATGCCTGGGAGAATGACTAAAATCAAAAACATAAGGAACAACATGTGTTGGCAAGGTTGAAGGAAAAAAGGAACCCTCATGCACTGTTGGTGGGAATATAAATTGATGCAGCTGCTGTGTTAAATAGTGTGAAAATATTAAAACTAGAATAGCCATATGATCCAGTGATTCCACTATGAGGTATTTACCTAAAGAACATGAAAACACTAATTCAAAAAGATATGTGCACCCCTATGTTTATTCCAGCATTTATAATAGCCAAAATCTGGAAGAAACCCAAGTGTCCATCCATAGATGGACAGATAAAGAAAATGTGATATATAATGGAATATTATTCAGGCATAAAAAGGAATGAAATCTTGTCATTTGCAACTTAGATGGGTCTAGAAGTACAATGCTAAGTGAAATAGGTCAGAGAAAGACAAATGCCATGATTTCACTCATATGTGGGGCTTAAGAAACAGAACAACAGAACAAAGAAAAAAGAGACAAACCAGACTCTTTAACTATAGCAAACAAACTGATGGTGACCAGGGGGGATGTGGGTGGAGGGATGGGTGAAATAGGTGATGAGGATGAGAAGTACATTTGAGGTGGGCACAGGGAAAAGAATTGTTGAATCACTGTATTGTACACCTGAAACTGATACAATACTGCACGTTCATTATATTGGAATTAAAATTAAAAATGCCTGGAAGGGTAAGCCCAGGAGGGCTCTATCAGCCAGTAGTGTCTTGGTGGGAGTGAGCTTTTTGAGGCTTTGAAGAGGGAAGGGCCAGGAGGGGAGCTCATGGGCAATATGCTCTCCCTGTTGCTGGCCACTGTAACTGCTCTTCTCCATCACCAATGGAGAACCTCCACTTCTCTTTCAAGGCCCAGATCAAATAATCTTTCTTCATCAAGGCTCCCTCCCACCTGTCCAGTACGCCCTGTTTCCTGTGGGTAAAGTTGCCTATCTATCCTCTTTCATATGTTAGAATAGGCAGATGCTTTGAGTTTGGGTTTTGGCTTCCTGCCAAGAACTTTGAGGGACTTTGCTGGGAGTCAAGACTATGACTCTCCAGAGCTCAGAAGAGGGTCTTGCTGAACATGTGAGCAAGAAAGCAGGTGTGTGTGTGTGTGTGTGTGTGTGTGTGTGTGTGTGTGTGTGTGAGATTAAACAGCTAGCCTTTCTAAGCCCCCAGGTGAGGGAGAGGCCCAGGGTGTCCATGGTCCTGTGACACTCCAGGTCAAATTTGCCTCCCCTCTGGGGTAAAGCTAGGCCCAGCTTGATATCCTGGGACTGGTACAGCCTCCTTGGGACATTCCCAAGATCTCTTTCAGCTGGGGATGAGGCAGCTGGGTTCTCTAACTCAGAGGTGGGTTGGACCAAGCTGATTGTTTTATTAAAAGCACCACAAACTTCTTGCTGACTTCTCCTCCCAGGTAACCAGGGAGGCAGTCTCTTGTGAGCTATCAGAGACTGACTGCAAGAAGGGTCTGCTCTGATTTGGGGAAGGAGCATCAAGCTCTGAGGGAACAGAGCCAAGGTAGGCAGTCAAGAGTCACAGCGATGCCTCATGAGCAGCCACTGCTCCTTGAGCCCTCCCATGCTCTCTTCTGGCCACCCCACCACTGTAGCCTTGGCTTCCCTGAGGCCTGGGCGGGCCAAGCCAACCCACCTCAGGATGAGTCATAGGGGGCAGGCATAGCTGCCCGCTACCCGCCCTCCACCTCCTCCCCAGGGTGTGGTTGCCGCAGGTCTCCGGGGTTCCATGGGTAAACAAGGAGCCTGGGCATCTCTGCCTGTGGAAATGTCACCCCATAGGGGCTTCCTGATCCCCTGCACTGGCCCTGTTTACTGCCCCATGTCAAGGGTAGGGACGGCCGTGCACTGACCCGGGCAACAGATGATGTATATGTGTGTTGTGGGGGCTACGTGTACAGGATTTCTGCCTCAACTCAGAAACCTAGAATTTTGCAGGGGAAGAGTCTAGAGATATCTGGGCTCAGCCTCAGATGGGGAAATGGAAGACAAGCAAGGTGGGGTAACTCTCCCAGGATGACAGAGCTTGGAAGAGACTGAAGCTCTGGACTCTCTACAGGTCTGCCCTGCTGCTCTCAGCCTGGGGAGGCAAGGAGCCCCTCGGGAAGCCCCCGGAGCCCAGCCTAAACCTCCACTGCCTGGTTCCTTAACTGACCAGAGCATGTGCTGCTGAGGGCTGATGGCAGCTCAGGTGTGGCACAGGGCTGCAGCTCCTCTGAAGGGTCTCCAGCTTCAGAGCCCACGCCCAGAACAGGACAGAGGCTCCTACTATGGCAGCCCCTTCCTTGTATTCTGCTCATAGCATCCCTCTACAAAGGCGCCCCATGTGTAGTTGTGGCAGGGCCATTACCCCATGACCCTGCCTCTCAGAATGCCCTCTGCACATGCACCAGCCTGGCAAGGATGCCACCGTATCCCCTGAGTATGGCGAAGGGGTCACCCGGGACACATGAACTAAGAAGCAAGATCAATCAGCATCCATCGCTGGAGTCACATGAGTGACACAGAGAAAAAGCTATCTCTTTTTCCTCCAGCTGGGAGGCTGGGATGATGTAAACCTGGAGATGTCTGAGGCCATGGCCTCTTCCTTCCTCTCTAGTCTCCAAACCTGGGAGAAGCCCATTTTATTGTAGGAGAGAATGAAGACGACGCACAGTGGGAGAGGACATCCTGAACCCTACTCTGGATTCTGTTAGGTCTGGGGCCAGTTCTACCTCTGGATTTTTCAGTTTTATAAACCAATGAATAAGTTTCTTAAGATAGTGGTAAGCTGTGTTCTTGTCAGTTACTTTTTAAAAAATTATTTAAGTGATCTCTCCACCCAACAAACTCAGGACCCCAAGAACAAGAATTATGTGCTCTCCTGATGGCCAGCTAGGCACCCCGCTTTTAAACGTCGAATAATTAAACAAGAAACATCAAGTCTGAAGTGGATCTATAAATATCTGCCCAAAAAAGATGCCTGCACGCTCTGGCTGGAGGTAACAGGTGCTGGACACTTAGCATGGTCCGTTTTCCTGGGCTTGAGACAGGTTGGGAAGAGCAGGGGGCCCGGGTACCTCCACTGGGGCAATGTGGGAATCAGGAAAGGCCTTGGAGTAGGTTATAAGTCCTTTTCTATATTATTTACCAGGTGCCTACTAAGAGCCAGGCACTGTGCAAAGTCTGGGGGCTAGAGTGGCAATTGGCAAGACATAGTCCCACGGAGCTCCCAGTCTGTGTCTGCTAACTATTGTCATGTCACAAGCTCTCTCATTAACCATCAGTTAGACTTGTGGCAGAATATTTAGCCTCTTTGAGCTTGTCTCATTAACTTATGAGCTACACCGCGGGTTTGTCAGGGCTCAAGAGATAGTAAGGAATGTGGCAGGGAGCATGCTCTCAGGGAGCATGCTCTCAGGAAGCAGTAGCTCTTCCTGTCACTTCTGGGGAGAAGGTACTATCCCTGCTCCCCCACTCCTGGCTCTCAATTCCACTGCAGATGTCACGCTTGCATAGAAAGTTTGGCAGCAGTATGAGATTTGAAAAATGATCTAATAGGATTCAGGAAGTACACAAGACCACAGTTGGCCAAGAAGTGGCCTGGGAGCGGGGGCGTGAGCTGGGAATGACACTGTGGTGTGATGGTGGGGTCAGGGAGGATGGTAGCCTGGGAGAGAGGGCAGGAGGGGAAGGCTAAGAATGGACCATAAGGGACTGACACAGTGAGGGCTGGAAAGATGGTTCGGGCCAGGTTGGTGTGAGCTGGGCTGTGGGAAAAAGTCCTAGTTCTGTGGCACCACGAGGTGGGGGCAAGACAAGATGAAAGCATCTTTAGAGGCTGTTGCTCTGGTTTAGGTGAATAGAGATGAAACCTGGGCTGGGTTGCCTCGGAGGTAGGGTTGGAGTGGGAGGTACAGACGTGAGAAAGATCCAGAAATGAGACAGACCAGGACTTGGAGACTTGGACCTTTAAGATACGGTGGTAAGGGAAACAAGGAGCCTGAGGGGCTGGGAAAATGGGGGGCAGGGGCTCACAATATAGGACAGACAGGGTATGTGCCAGGTTTTTCTCCGAAGGTCCTGGGGCAGGGAACGTTCCACATTCTCCATAGATAATGTTGGATTCAGGGAGTACTGGAGGGCTGCCTGGTTAAAGTACAGGCAGGCAGAGGCAGATATTAGACCTACAGGGGCAGGACTGGAAAGGAACCCAAATAACCAGGTAGCCAAAAGGAATGCTCAGAGTGTGGGTGTTGGGGGGAGGAAAGCCACGTGTGGGATTTGGAGTTCCTGGGCTCCAGTGGAGGCATGCGGCCTACAGACAGGCAGCTCTGGCCACTTCCCAGTAAGGGGAAGCCAGGCTGCCTGCAAGCTGCCACTAGAGCTGCCATGGTGCAGGCGGGAAGCTGAGGGTGCTCTGGGGTTTTGACCCTGCCTGTTTTTAAGGGAGAGGCCCACCTGTGGGAGGAGGGTCTGCCATCCCTGGAAAGAGGCTGCCCGCAGGGGCCAACACACACAAGCCCCCTGGCTGTGGCCCCGGGGAGATGGCTGCCTGCACCCAGGTACCCAGCAGAGCAACAGGCAGTCAGCTCCCACACGCCCGGGGCCTGCCTCTCCCTGACGCCCCGCTCTTGGCAGCCCAGCCTCCCATAATTGCCTTCTAAAAATATCCTTCCCCCACCCCCACCTCTTGATTTCAAAATATTTAGTTTTCAGGATATTTAAAATGAGAGCTGGCGGCTCTTCCAGGCCCAGATAACAAAGCTAAACATTTATGCTTTGACTGCATTTCTCTGAATCGGCTCAGATCTTGGGGCTTGATATGGCAGCAGCAGGAGGGAGGGGAGTCAAGTGCAAGACGGATCATGTGTGGGCCTCCTGAGGGCTGAGGGTGTGACTGGCCTGCCCCTCAGACCCCTGTAGGACCCCTCCCTTTGTTGGGGGACCACCTACCGCTGTTGACGTGGAGCCGGCCCCGGACCGTGTCCTTCCCCAGGATGTTCTCGGCCTCACAGACATACTCCCCAGCATCCTCCACCTTCACCTTGTTGAACTGGAGTCGAGAGTTCTTTCTGGTTGGGGGGGAGGGTGATAAGAGGGGAGAGATGTGAGCCAAGGCCCAGGCTAGCTGTGGCTCCCCAGTGGTCACTGCGCGATCATTTCTCTCCACAGAGCCACAGTGGCTGCGCAGGGTGGATGAGAAGTCCATTACATGCCGGTTACAATGCTGAGTCCCCCGAGCTGCAGGGAGACCTGGGGGGCAACACAGGGTAGAGCCAGTGGCTGTACACAGGTCTCTAAATCTCCGTGTCCTCATGTCTACTTCTCTAGGGCTGCACGTTCTCTGTAGCCTTTTTCTGGAGGAGGAAAGTGGAGTCTCCTAAGGAAGTCAGATGGCTACCTCTCTCTTTTCAGGCTCCCCCCCTCCCGCCACTCTTCAAAACAGGGCAGCCACTGCCTCACCAGTTACCTCTGCCTGGCCCTAGAAGTGGCTGCCTGCCACTCTAGATACAGAAGGCCTGCTCCCAGGTACCTGCAGGCCCTCAGGTTAAAAGGCTCTCATGGCAAGGGTGCCCAGCCTCCCAGTCCCAACCGGTGGCTTCCCTGGCCTTCACCCTGGCCCTGCCATTAGGTTACTCTGTGGCTTCTCCTAGGGGCTTTAGTTTCATCCATCCATCCATCCATCCATCCATCCATCCATCCATCCATGTAATTAATGTTACTGAGTGCCTTCTATGTGGTAGGAGCTTGGATACCTCAAGGGAACAAACAGATCCTGATCCTCAGGGCCTGACTTGACCCTCATGGCTAACCTGGAGGTAGACAGGCAGTCCAGATGGGAAAACTGAACCCTAGAGGAGCCTCTGGATTTGTCCAAAGGGACCTGGCAAGGCAATAGCAGAGATGGATGAGGAGCTGGAGTTGGTGAGGACACGGGCCCCTCAGTGGCTCATGGACTATTTCCTAGAGCCAGAGGCTGGGAGGCTAGCCCCCTCTGCAAAAGACTTTGCAGCCAGTCCCTGCATGCTGAAAGTTGTGGGGCCAGGCTGGGCAGTAAGGGTTGTGCTGTGTGTGACTCCAGGGTACTAGGTTCTGGTTCCCCTCTTCTTTCTGAAGACCCTGCCAAAGCTCTCCTTCTTTCCCAGGGTTTCTCTGCACCTGCCCCAGGGTGCCTGGACTCTGCAGGGTCTGTACATACCTCCTGTCCCTCCCTGGGCCGCAGTGCTCTTCAGGGGCCCATCTGAGCTCTGGATAAAGCCTAGTACCCCAGCCTGGCCCACAGGGAGAAACAAGAAGTAGCATAAAAATTTCTTTACATGATGTAAACTCCTCCACTTTTTAGTCCCAAATTAAAGTGCCAGATTCCCAGAATATGTGTAGTGTGTTGGAGGGGTGGTGGAATGGGAGCTGGGGTAATACAGCTACCACTGCCCTGAGCCCTGGGATGAACATCAGAGCCATGATGCTCTTGGAGAAAGGATGGGGAGGTGACACTGGGCCACGGCAGGGGCAGGGGAGCCAGCAAACTGACCCCTGTCACCCTGGGGCTGTGCTTTGGGAGCCTGTGTCCTAGGTTCACCGCTGCCTCTGGAGGGCCTCTTCCCAGACCTCCTCACTCCAAGATCCTTTAAACGAGGATTCATGAGGTTGTCTTGTCAATAGGCCCTGTTGCTGTGGTGATGTCCTTGCTGATGTTTAGGTGACAGCCGTCTGTCTGACCCCTCGCACCCCCCACCCCGGCTCTCCCCCTTCCTCCGTGACCCTATCCCTCCAACCCTTTCCAGCTCAAGCCAGTCTGTCTCCTTGGCCTGGTGTCTGCCTATAATCGTCTTCTGTCAATTCAAGTTTGTTCTCTTCTTAAACAGAGCCCTGGAGGCCCCTCTGGCTAAAATAGCATCTCCTTCCTGGCTCCAGCCTAATTAGATGCCACAAAGCCCAACTGCCCCAGGACCAGGCTTCTCTCACTTCTGGGCCACAAGCAACTCCCTGACACTAGAGGAACAGAGCAGGTAACTACCTGAGGGTCGCAGGGTGAAGCTATAGGGAGCACAGAGCTAGAGCCTCCCTGTCACCCACAGCTGGATTCAAAGGAGTCCCCCTTATACCACATCCTGTGTAGCAGGGAAGGTGGAGTAAGGCTCACAGATATCTGGGGGGACAAAGACTGGAAATGGCAGGAAGGCCTTCCCACATGAGGCGGGTGAGATCTGTGGAAAGTTGGTCCAGGGCTCAAGGAGAGGCCCTTTCCTCTGAGGAAATGGCAAGGGGCACCTTAGTTTCTCAGCTGTGTGATGATCTGGCCAGTTCCAGGAAGGGGACCCCAGACTTGCACACAAGGTCCTGAGGTCAGAGCTGCAGGGTAGGGGCTCTATGGGTCCCTCAGCCCTGAAGGAGCAGGAGCCACTGCATTCTCTCGTCACTCCTAGCTCCAGGCAGAGACCCTGAGGATTCAGGACCCGGTCCCACCTTCCTGGTAGGCCCGATGCCTGTGTGCCACACTGATCTGGGCCTGCCCCTGCAATGCACGCCCCTCCCCCCTCTCTTAGCCAGTTTTGTGCTGGCAGGGACGGGATCTGGGCGGCTGTATCCTCCACCTGTCCACACAGTTTCCTCAGTGCCTACCTCATGCTGCCTGCCTGAGGGGCCTGTTCCAGCTTGCCCTCATACATAAGGGAACATGTGGTTCTGCAGGAGAGGGCCCTGTGCTCAGGGCTTGGGGGGCTGGTTTTCTTTTGGCACAGGAAGGCCTGGGTGAGACACCTCAATGTGGCAGCCTCAGAGACAGTACAAGCTGGGGAGAGGGCCTCTGCAGGCCAAGAGCCATTTCAGGAAGGAGGGTGGCCTGGCCGGTGGAGGGATAGGATGGCCAAAGGGCAAGCTGCAGTGTGGGCAGAATGAAAGAGAAGATTCTGCCAGAGAGGAGACGCCTGCTTACGTCCCTGGCCCCCATGCAGGGGAAGTGTGTGCGCATGTGCAGGTGGTAGCCCTCTTTGCCACAGCAGGGAAATTATAAGTTCTCTATCAGAGCTCATTCCACCCCATCAACTCCTGCTGGGAGCCCAGGGGCAGACTGGTGGATTGAGGAAGTTTCAGGAGTGCAGCAAATGGGACAGGGCCCTGACAGGAAGAGGGCCGGGGCACACTTCAGGCTCCTAGGGGTCCCCAATACCCAGAACAGAAAGACTTGCCATGGCCCTGTTTCTGGACTGGAAAACCCACATGTCAGATGAGCCTGACCAGGATGGTAACTTGCTTAAAGTCTAGGTCAACCCAAAGGGTGCCCTGTCCAGTCCTAATATCACCTTATACCCAGAAGAAGAGTACTCGTCCTGCAAGATTCTCATTAATTCAACACTGAAGGCAGATCTGTGCCAGGCCATATGGGCAGAAGGGCGTATGCAAGCGGCATCTAACCTCTAAAGCTCTCTCATATTAGAGGGAGAGACAACACCCCGAAGTGCAATGAAATCATGTCTAAGACCCCCTGAGGGGACCAGAAGAGCTGCCTGGAGGGTTCAGGAAGGTGTCCCAGAGGATAGGACATTTAATCTGAGCCTGGAGAACTTTGCCAGGGACAAGGTTGGGGAAGGGGGAGCTGCCAGCACAGGGAACAGCTTGGGCCCAAGTCTGGGATCAGGAAAGGAAAAGACAGGGATGAGGAGTGGTGCAGTATTGGGGAACAGCATGGCAGTGACGAAGAGGGGCAGGGGAAGGGCCTGAGGCCTGGGCTGTAGCTCAAAATGTGTCAAGTAAGGTGCACCTGGGTGGCTCAGCAGTTGAGCATCTGCCTCAGGTTGTGATCCCGGGGTCCTGGGATCAAGTCCCACATCGGGACTCCCCATGGGGAGCCTGCTTCTCCCTCGGCCTATCTCGGTCTCTCTCTCTGTGTCTCTCAGGAATAAACAAATAAAATCTAAAAAAAAAAAAAAAATCTGTCAAGTAAGTGAGTGACTGATCAGATTTGTGTCCTTGTTAGAAAGATCATCCCCTGCTAGGGTCACAGGGATCAGTGGATCTCTAGAACTGTAAGCAAAACTGGGTGGATAAGGCACATTTTTTTGAAGAAAAGGGTGAAGGCCTTTACCACAGTCTGTACTGGAAGCTAGACTGGAAGCTCTGTGAAGGATGGGAGGGACCATGTCTGGTTCAGTTTCTGGTGTACGTCCAGCCTCTGGCAGAGTGCCTGGCACACCATTGATATTCAATATGTACATGTTAGATACAGAGATGAACTCACAAAGGGGTCTGTGGCCCAGGAAAAGTGGGGATGCCCAGGGGAGGGAAAGAAGCTGGAGGCAGGAGAGCAGATAAGAACACACAGGGCAGAGAGCAGTGTTTCCTGTGGGCAGGGATGGCATGGGAGCAGGTGCCATGCAGCAGGAGGTCTGGTTCTGCCACAGCTGAGAGGGGAGCACAGAAGGGTGCAGCAGGGCCAGAGGGGATGAGGGGGAGACACTAGACTTGGGCCATACAGGATTAGAACTGTCTGTAGGTATCCCAGGGGTGGGATCCCATATTCAGCCAGCAGCATGGGTCTGGAACTCAGGTACAAACAAAATGTCATGAAACTGGAGACAAGGTTATCAGCTAGGAAAGGGTAAAATTAGCTACAAGTGGAGAGGAGAGGAGGGGAGCCCCCAAGACTGGAGAGTTCCAGTACTGATGGTGACTGAGAGAGAGTGGTCAGAGGGACAGGAGGACCAGGAGGGGGGCCGCAGGGGCCACAGAGCCAGTGGCACCCATGCCAGTGGCTGCAGTGAGGCCTGGAGGCATGGGGCTGGGAAGCTCTGAGGTCACCAGGGCTCTCAAGAGCCACAGCCATAGGTAGCATGGGAGTGTATTTAGAAGGCAGATTCCAGCAGAGCAGAGAGGCATGGAGGACGACAGGGTGGAGTCAGTGGACACGGGACTGACCCTGGATGATGGTGCAGGGTAGAAGCGGGACAGGCAGCAGCTGAAAGAGGGACAGGCACAGGGGTGGAGGGAAAGCTTTGAGAAGGGAAGTGATGGGAGAGAGTTGGTGGTGGAGAGAGAGGGAGGTGGAAGTCATCACTCAGGGCTGCCCAGATGCATCCTGGAGTCTGTCTTTCACCAAAGGTTGCCAAACGGGAGGCTTTCAGACACTGGGGCAGATCCTTTGGGAAGTTTTAGGGGCAAGAGGGGACTTGCATAGGTAAAGCTGAGTTTGATAATCCAATTGCCTTCAAAGATCTTCATTAAACATTCACAGTCAGCAAGACACTGGACCACCAAAGCCAGAGGGGCCTGGAACCGCAAGGAGAAATGGGGCAGGGCCAGGAGGGAGGACTGAAGTCGGTCCCCCTTTTCAGGAAGGGTGAGGGCAGCCTGGTGGACAGAGGGAGGGGTGAGAGAGGGAGGGGAGCATCTTACCTGCCGTTGCCATACTTGATGCGGATGTCCCGGCTGCGGTTGAGCTCCTTGCCATCCTTGAACCAGCGGTAGGAGGGCTGAGGATTGCCCGCTGCTGCCTCGCACTTCAGTGACTGCTTCTCACCCACCTGTCCGGTCTGGCTCTTCATCTTCTTCAGCTTGGGCCGGGTGG